CCCTCCCTTCATCCACCATCTTGACAATCCAGAAACCCAGAACCTTCCCACCCTTGGAAACACATGCAGAATCCTGAGGCCACAGCCACGTCCCAGTGTGCCTGTCCCCTCTCCACTGCCACCCTAGGGTCAAAGCTTAGCCATCCTTCTGCCTTTCTCTTAGTGCCAAAGACCCTTTAGAATTGGCTCTGATGGACTCATGATGAAAATTTCAGACCCTATGTGAAATATACCTGTCCAGGAGGGGTCCCAGGCTCTCACACACTTCCCTTAGTTCATGTACTCATAAGCCCAGTTTTTGCCTGAAAAGGAGGGATCATTGATGCCTTCACTTGGCTGGGAAGGTGTTGGGCACTCAGAGCCTGGCGTTTACAGAGCTCTATGTACATGCCTCGGTGGCTTTCTGTCTAGCACCACCGATATTCTCTAAAGCAAGAGTAGTGAAATGACCACTTCAGACTCTAGACCTCAATACATTTAAATATGCTGATTCTAGAGTTCCATGAGAGAATACAGGGTCACACAGTGTGTAGCACAGTCAGGAGGCATAAAGCAGTGACCTCAGCTAAGTAAAGCCTCTCTGTTGGCAGAGTTCATTAACTTTGAAGTGTGACCACTGGTTTCTGGGATTTCCCATCTAGTGTCAGATGCTCCAAAGAGACTTGGGGGAGCAATTTCTGTCTATTTGACAGGACGAAGGGGAAAGTTGCTTTGGTTTTGTTCCTTTAGGAAAACAGTTACATGCTAGAGAAACTAGAACACATGATGCCTTATAAAACTAGAAGACATGATGCCTCTTTGCCTGAATATCCCATCTGCATTTGACTGTTTTACCCTTTGCGTTATTAAGCATTTTAAGAAAATGACAAACAGGAGGGCTTCCCTTCTAAAGCAGAATCAGTCTCAAAATTGGTGGATAGCATGAGCAGTAATACAAGTTTTATTGCATGTTCACTGGTTTATAAATAAATTGAACAGGCCAATTTAAAAATATTAAAACATTTCCAAACATTTGGGACTTTTTAAAAAAATTTTTTAAAGATTTTATATTTGACAGAGAGAGAGGGAACACAAGCAGGGGGAGTGGAAGAGGGAGAAGCAGGCCTCCCGCCAAGCAGAGAGCTGGATGCAGGGCTTGATCCTAGGACCCTGGGACCATGCCCTGAACCAAAGGCATATGTTTAACAGTTGAGCCACCCAGGTGCCCCAACATTTGGGACTTTTAAGCACTTATTTTCATTTAAGTCAAGATTGTCTTAACTTCACATTGAATGTTCCACATTCAATGGAATTTTTTCCATCCCACTAGTGAACATAATCCAAGCTGATCCCCATTACCTTTCCTGTTTTCCCCCAGGGAGATTCTGGAAGTCCTTTGATATGTGAGGGTAGTTTTAGAGGCATTACTGCCTTTGGCCTTCCAGGAAAATGTGGAGACCCTCGAGGACCTGGCGTCTATACTCTTCTCTCACAGAAGCATCTCCACTGGACAATTGCGACTATGAAGGGGTTTGTTTAGCTAATTGTACTTCAGTGCATTTGCTGTCACTTCTTTTTTCATTGTTTGTTTCGAATTTTTATTTAAATTCCAGGTAGTCAACATATAGTGTAGTATTGGTTTCAGGAGTAGAATTTTGTGATTTATGGGATGGGCACTTGCTGTGACTTCTTAATCTTATCATAAATAAAATCAATTTGTGGAGCTGTATCCATTTCTCCTATACCTTCAGTGGGCAGATCTGCACTGGCACGGGGAAGCAGAGGAATATGACAACCTTACAGATATTGCAAGAGAGACGAGAGAGCCAATGTCACCAGGGTCAACCATGTGTCAAGTGACATACATACTTTCCTCGAATTATTCACTGTCTAAATGGGGCCCAGCAGGAGTGACAATAAGGTCAGGTCTGTCTAGTGACAGGCTCAGCAATTCCGCAGGAAACAGGAACAGCCAGTGGAGCATTTGGGTTTAAAAGGAAATGCTTTTGCTCTTCTAAGGCCATTGCTCCACATCAACACATGCTATCAATCTATCCATCTCTCTGCAAGAACCTGAGTCCAAGAAAGAAGTAGACGGGGCAGTGTCTCACCGTGTTTTCCAAAGGCAGGTGAGAAATAGAAAATACAATTCCATGGGACAGAAATGATGCCCTTGGCAGGCAAGAAAAGTATGCAACAGAGAGTTAGCCTCCTCTCTCATGGGTTTGCATAGAAGCCTTTGATTATCTAGGTGATTTCTTGGTTCTCCTCAACCCTGAGCCTGGGTGGATCCAGCCAACACAATGGTTACAGGAGCTGCCATCACATACTAGGCAGTAACTGCTCAAAGGCTTCCTTGAAAAACCCCTATGTTGTTATTCAGCACGTTGAACTCACTGGGGAGTTCTCAGTCCAACAGCCACTTCAAAATGTGATTATGTGAATGGATTCCTGAAATTTCCATCAGTTCCTTTAGAAGTGTACATGCACATGCACACACACACAATGTATACCCAAGCCAAGAACATACATCAACACCAAGAGACAGCCTCCTAAAACAAAGAAGGAGCATAGCTCAATTACAGATCCTCAGCCCCACCTCTAGAAATTTTTATTTAGTTGCATTCAATGAGACCGAGGACATAATATTCTTTATATAATCTCCCCAGTGATTTCAATATACAGCTGGTGATGGGAGGCCTTACACTAAAAAATGAAGTCTGGTGCTAACATCTAAAACAGGGCTCTAAGAGAGTCCCTAGGATGATATTGTAGATGCCTGCTATAATCCCTAATTCATAGTTAGAATTTTAATAGCAATAAGAGGATAGACTATTCCCTACTGGCAACATTATAGATTTCGAAGTCCAATTAAAAAGTAGTTGCATAGAACCCTCATTCATTGCTGATGGAAGCGTACACTGATACTTCTTAGGCAAGTTGGTAGAGACTACTTAAAACTCAATATCCTATGACCAAGCAGTTCCACACCTGGGTATATGCCCAACAGAAATGTGTGCTTTTGTCCACCAAAGAATGATTAAGAGTGTGCATAGTAACTTTATTCTTTTTCTAAAAGATTTATTTATTTTTAGAGGACACGTGAGCAGGGGAAGGGGCAAAGGGACACTCTCAAACAGACTCCCCACTGAGTACAGGGCCTGACAAAGGGCTTGATTTCACGACCTTGAGATCATAACCTGGGCCAAAATCAACAGTCAGATGCTTAACCAACTGAGCCACTCAGGTGCCCCACAACTTTATTCTTAAAGTCAAAATGGAAAATAGCTCAAATATTTATCCACAGTAAGATGGATTGACAATTGTCATACATTTATACATGGGAATATTACACAGCAATGAAAAAGAAAAGCCTACCGTTACATGTAACAACATGAATTAATATTACAAGCCTAATAGTGAGTGAAAGAAGTCAAAAAGAATATAAAAGATGTGATTCCATTTATCTGCAGGTTGGCATAAAACAAAAGTATCGTGTAGAGGTCAGAATAATGGAAAGATGTTGACAAAGAGTAGGTACAGGGAAGTCTTTAGGGTACAAGAAATGTTCAAGTGGATGGTATAGACTGATGCCAAGAGTTCAAACCCAAGTAACATCGTCTCAAAACACTTCCTAGAGAGGTTAAGACTTTGATGAGCAAAGAAAAGGAAGAGAGTAGTAGAAATTCCAGACTAGAAGAAAAGCTCTGACAAAAGCACAAAGGCAGGAAATCAAAAGACCTAGCCCAGGGTCAACAAAGGAAATGAGTAAGGATTAACATTTAAAAGATGGGGCGCCTGGGTGGCTCAGAGGGTTAAGCCTCTGCCTTCGGCTCAGGTCATGATCTCAGGGTCCTGGGATCGAGCCCCACTTCGGGCTCTCTGCTCAGCGGGGAGCCTGCTTCCCTTCCTCTCTCTCTGCCTGCCTCTCTGCCTACTTGTGATCTCTCTCTGTCAAATAAATAAATAAAATCTTAAAAAAAAATTTAAAAGAACATGTGCGCTGGGTGGCCCAGTCCGTTAAGAGTCTGACTCTTGATCTCAGCTCTGGTCTTGATCTCAGAGTTGTGAGTTCAGGCCCCACGTTGTGTTCCACACTGGGCATGGAGCTTACTTTAAAAAAGAGAAAGAGAGAACAGTGGCCTGATCGAGCCTAAAAAAAACTTAGCAATTATCAAATCCAAAGTCTTATTCTTGTAAGTGTTATGACCACATGCAAGTTTGCTCAGTTGGTCTATGGCTGTTCTAGGGCTCAGGACCCTAAGGTTGAGGTGAGGGCTCTATGTAATAGGGAGTCATTGAGAGTTTCTGAGCAGGGGCTGAGAAGATCACCACCATGCTTTTAGAAATGTAGCCTAACTGTGTGGTGGAGACCCATGAAGAATAAAGAGAGGAAAACAGAAGGAATTACAATGAATTGGTCATCAGGTATTCAGTACATGACTAGAATGAAACAGAAGAGAACAAGTTGTGAGCAGATTAAGCATGGAATGGAATAATCAGGAGGTTACCTGGATGATGGGATGACCAAGATAGGGATGAGAGCAGGGAGAGGGACAAGGGAGTTCTACAGGGGATCTCATTTTGAGAGGAAATACTGGGCATGCTTAACATACTGCTTAGCATATAGTGGAATTTTAACCAATATTTTTCAAGTGAATAAGGGATTTTTTAATGTATTTGGTTTAAGCTAAAACAGGAAAGGATCTCAGAAAGGAAATATCCAGAGTCAGAAAGAAATATGAGGCTAGAGATTGGGAGAAAAGTCAAGAGGGGAAAAGGTGTTTGGAAATCTCTGCTGTAGAAATCTCTGCTATCACAGTGGAAATGCATCCCTAACAAGGAAGAGATAGAAAAAAAGAAAAAGAAGGGAGAAGAAGAGGAGAATGAGGGAGGGGAAAATAGAGAAGAGGCAAAGATAGTATCTGGGAATGGAACAGGAGGAAGCAGAGCAAATAGGCATGAGAAGAAAGGTCACGAGAACATTCACCTCAGGAAAAGCACGTCATCCAGTTTGGTAGTCACAACAACCCCGTGGAGAAGACAAAGCCACTGTCCTTATTCTCACTTTGAAGTGAGGAAGCTGGAGCTCGTAGAGTTGCTGAGTGACAGCAGCTCCATACACAGGCTGTGCCATCTGCTGAAGCAGAAAACACTCGGGTCTGGTCTGGACTCAAAGCCAGGTGCAGGACTCTGCCTCTGTGGCCTGTGGGAAGAAGGGAAGACAGCTCATGTCCCACATTACAAGGGCTGTTGCTGAGGTGGAGGGCCCCGTATCCCCTCCCAGGATGAAGGCTTCTCTGAAACCTGCCATATATGAAGCTGGCACTCCCACTGTGCCTTTGCTGTGGTAAACACCAGTCCAAGCTAACTGTAGGCAGCAACCTCAGGTGGCTGAGGTTTTGCTTCACTGGGTTTCCCTTTCAGAGCTCTTCCCCCTTTTATTAGTTTCCTAGGGCTGCCATAACAAATTACCACACACTGCTGGAAACAAGACAAATTTCTTTTCTCATAGCTCTGGTGACCAGAGGTCCAGAATCAAGGTGTCGGCTGGACTGGCTCCCTCTGGAGGCTCTGGGGGAGCTTCCAACCCTTGCCTCCTATCTTTGATTTGTGGCCACATCACTCCGTTCTCTGCCTCTGTGTCACATGGCCCTTTTTTCCATGTGCGTATTCTCTCCTGTGTGTCTCTTCGAAGGACACTTGTCATTGGATTTAGGGCCCATCCAGGATGATCTCATCTCACAATCCTTGACTTAATTACATCAGTTTTTTGCTAAAGAAAATCACAATCACAGCTTCCAGGGATTTGACAAGTGGCGGGATCATTTCTAGCCCACCACGTCCCTCATGCCCCAAATCATTATCAGCTCTATCTTCTCTACTCCACGAGCACCCAGGAATTGCTACTACTGTGCTCCAGCCACCCATCCCATCCTCCTTATCCTCTCCAAAAAGTCATCCCTTGGGACCTAAGTTTCAAGGAGATAATCAAATAAATTGAGGCAGATTAATAGGAAAGGACCCAAAAAGCTCTACCCCAAAGCAAACATGAGTCTTAGTTATGTAATTCTGGAGACAATCCAACTTTTTCTGTTATCTACCTGATCGTCTCCCAAAGAACATTTTGTGGAACAGTAATTCCATATGAAGTTGGTTAATAGGTATTAAAAAAAGAAAACAGTGTTTAATGTTCACATTAGTTTGGGATCTCCAGGTTAAAAAAAAATTAAACAGGATTCCTTATTTCAAGGCTGCTTGGTTTGGGAGAAGAGATTATAATAAGCAGCATTTCTGAAACTTAGTTGACCAAAGTCATGTCCTTTTTTTTTTTAAGATTTTGTTTATTTATTTGACAGACAGAATCACAAGTAGGCAGAGAGGCAGGCAGAGAGAGAGAGAGGAGGAAGCCGACTCCCAGCTGAGCAGAGAGCTCAATATGGGGCTCGATCCCAGAACCCTGGGATCATGACCCGAGCTAAAGGCAGAGGCTTTAACCCACAGAGCCACCCAGGTGCCCCAGTCATGTCCTTTTGACATGAACTTCTCACATGGCTCACGTTCCTTGGAAAATACTTGGCAAAATCTATCCTAACCCAACAGTGACGGCTAACAATCAAACGTTCAGGCCAAAGCAGACAAAACTGACTCCATGAAAGAAGGCTGGGGCCAGGAGCATGGAGGGAAGGAAAGAGGTTGTGTAAGTTTTTGACTGAGGAGGTATTTGGGGACACACATAAAATATAGCTAGGTTGGTAGTCATCTCATAGAACTAGTACAGTTTTCAATTCAAATGAGATCTGGAATTTCAGAAATAATCTTGTGTTCTGACACCAGATTCTCAGGAGCAAAGAGTACGTATACATATTCCACTCCTGAAGGAGACATTTCTTAGACACGGGAATTTTTCCATCCACACACATCATGCCCAATGGTCGCCTGGATGCTCACGCACACATATGCACACAGGCACAGGCACACATGCCCCCAAAGAGACATGGGTTTGACTCTGGGTGTGTCAGTGCATTAAAAATAAATCTAGATTCATAGATACAAAGCAGCTCCCTTATTTTATAGATGAAAAAAAGTTCAGTAACTTGTCCCACGTGCCTTGTCCCACATCACAGAGCTAATTGATGGCAAAGCCAGAACTAGAATCAAAATTCAGTGCTTTAATCCTTTAGCCCATTCTCCAGTCCCACAGCAAAGAAGAATCTCTTTTCCTAGGGAATACCACTGCTCCTTATTTTTTAATTAAACATTTATAAATTAAAGCAATGTAAATGAAAACCACTTAATTTAGTTAGGATAAATATAGAATATTACATGAATGTTTTTAAATTAAACTTAAGAAAAGTCAATTCAATAAACACAGTAGGTATTAAATATGCCTTCTTATTACAATGTGTTGAAATGAAGAGAAAGAAAGGGAAAAAAGTAGAAAAGGAGTAATAAAGAAAAAAAAATCTGAATCTTTTCCAAAGCAGGTTTTGAAAAATGTCTTTACTTTAAAAAAATGGAGAACTGCTTCCAAAATTTGTTAGGAAAATAGGGTTTGGATTAGAAGCAGAAGCATTCTTCTTTTTTTTTTATTTTTTTTATTAACATACAATGTATTATTAGCCCCAGGGGTACAGGTCTGTGAATCACCAGGTTTACACACTTCACAACACTCACCATAGCACATACCTTTCCCAATGTCCATAACCCAACCACCCTCTCCTTACCCTCCTCCCCCTGGCAACCCTCAGTTTGTTTTGTGACATTAAGAGTCTTTTATGGTTTGTCTCCCTCCCAATCCCATCTTGTTTCATTTATTCCTTTCCTACTCCACATACCCCCCCCCGTTGCCCCTCAACTTCCTCCTATCAGGGAGATCATATGATAATTGTCTTTCTCTGATTGACTTATTTCGCTAAGCATAATACCCTCTAGTTCCATCCACATCGTTGCAAATGGCAAGATTTCATTTCTTTTGATGGCTGCATAGTATTCCATAGTATATATTTACTATATCTTCTTTACCCATTCATCTGTTGATGGACATCTTGGCTGTTTCCATAGTTTGGCTATTGTGGACATTGCTGCTATAAACATTTGGGTGCACATGCCCCTTCAGATCACTACATTTGTATCTTTAAGGTAAATACCCAGTAGTGCAATTGCTGGGTCGTGGCTCTATTTTCAACTTTTTGAGGAGCCTCCATGGTTGCACCAGCTTGCATCCCCACCAACAGTGTAGGAGTTTTCCCCTTTCTCCGAATCCTCACCAGCAAGAAGCAGAAGCATTCTTGAAACACTTCTCTCCTATTAGTGAAAATCTAAATTTACTAGATTTAGTGGGAAATGCCGTCTTTACCTCAGACAAAGGCCATCATTTAGGATTCACATCCCTAAATTCCAAGAGTATTATCACTGAAAGGATTTTGTTTGAAAGTTTTGTGTTCTTCATGCAGCAATCATTATAAAGGAGACTACCTATCAATGCATGTGCTAAGGACTATGAAACCAAATCAAAGGCCAGACCTCACCTACAGGCTAGAAAGTTACATATTGCTGCTTCAAAGCTTGTAAATTACAACTTTTGGAAGGTGAAGGGAAGAATGATCTTAAATTATCTTCCTTCTCCAGTTAGATGGGGAAAACCTCTTTAATAGAATTCTCCCCCCAGAGAATCATGAGTGTGGTTAACAGGGTGAGGTGAAGGAAAGGCGTGGCCATAATCTAGAATAGCTTTTTTCTAAACTTTATGACCACAGTCCACCGTTCAAAACTACATTTTATGTTGCCACCCCATATTTAAACACGCATATGGTATTGAACAACTGTAACAAAAGTGTCACAAAATAATGCCTACTTTTACATTGTTTCCATTCTCTGCTATTCTATTTCACCTTTTTAATGCTAACCACCTGATGTATGTTTATGTAACAACCACCCTGCTAAACACTGGGAAATATGCCCCTGGTTGAGACTACTGGGTCAGAGATGAGCATTAATGTCTGAAAGCTGGAAAGTAACTGCATCTTCTTTAATCATAAACATGTTAAGGGAAGAAAAGGTTAAATGTACTCTTTGGAATTCTGTCTAATATCAATGAAAAAAAGCACAAGACATGACGACTGAAGAATTCATAACTCGTCAAGGCTAGAAAAGAAAGAAAATGTACCAGTTAAGTTCATTCTTTATTGCCAGTATCAACAAATTGACTCCAGGATCTATCAGAGGTCCCTACCTCACTGAAAGATCTAACTATCTACTGGAATTGTAGTTTTGTAAAGAACCAGGTTTAAGGCTTCATTAAAAATATTTCTCTAGGGTGCCTGGGGGAGCTCAGTCAGTTGAGCATCTGCCTTTGGCTTAGGTCATGATCTCAGGGTCCTGGGATCAAGTCCCATGTCGGCCTCCCTGCTCAGCAGGGAGTCTGCTTCTCCCTCTCCCTCTGCCCCTCCCCACCGCTCATGCTCTCTCTCTCAAATAAATAGAATCTTTTAAAAAATAAAATAAAATAATTTCCCTAATCAGAAAACATATCCCATGAATTACATATCTTATGATTTAAAATATACAAAGGATCAATTCATGTCCTTCGTACACTCAGGCATGGCCACCCAGGTAGCTCTGTCAAGAGCTGTCTACATTTTTATTCACCAAATCACACAGTCTAACAGCTTAAGGATATCAAAGTCGTTCTGAGGTCAGACAGACCAGCAGAGCAGGAAGTCTTTCTGTTAAGGGTGTTTTGTTGTTGCCAAATAACATTCACACAATCTACAAAGAGAGGCACGGTATTATCACTATGGAACACTGTGTACATTTGGTGTTTTCAGTCTGTTGCTTCCCACTAAAGTATGGGCTCCCTGAGGGCAAAGATGATGTCTGTCTTGTTTACATGTATGTCCCCCCCGACCTCCAAAAATGCCTCACACACGGTAAGTGTATATTGAATAAACCCACACGTTATAGCACTCCTGGTTTTTCTGCAAAATAAGGAAAGATGAGTTATGATGCTAACTCCAGAGTTCAAAAAGCATTTGGAAACTCTCCCTGATCATCACTCTTCATCCATGCATGTATGCAAGAGGAGAAGACAGGACCATTGTAAGCGATGTACAGTCTGAATCAAATTCAGAAATACTCATCTACGGACACCCTGAGGTGGGATGGATGTAGGTCTTTTTTCCTGAAAATAAATACTTTAAAAAGCCAGAGGAGATCTTTCACTCAGGGCTTTTCCTGCCAGTGACAGCTCACTTAGCAATGGGAACATGCATTTTAGTCACCTGTGTGCTTACCCAAAAATCCACGCGACCTGGCCAGACCAGGACAGGCCCACACAGTCACATCATTCTTTGGACTACCTTGGCCGCTTGCAATCTCCTTTGTCTTAGGTAGCCAAATTAGGGAACAAATCTGTAATAATGGCCAAAAAAAATACAGAGTTATGGCAATGTCTGATGCATTATGAATGTATTTCAAATGGATACCAGGTGATATGTTCTGTCCGCATCCCTCCTCCAGTCCACAGCTGGGGTTAAGGTGTGAGAGGAACTATTTTAGTTTTAGGAAAGTTGATCCCAAGCCAACAGAAGTTTATGCATACAAATAGGTTTGGGTGCAATAAACCTACAAATTTGAGCACAGTCAAAGCAGTGCTGAGAAAGAAGGAAAGTGTGGGAAATAGAGGGGGAAGGAAAAGATACACAAATCAACTTGCAACCCACAGGGAAACATTCTACAAAAACAAACTGCCAAGAACTAAAGTCTTTATAGACTCACAAGTACAGAGAGATGTGTTTGGGTCCTATGCTCTAACAGCAATCATTTTCACAAGGTTCTAAAAGATCAAAGAGAAGGCAGACCCCAGCAGAGATGTTTACCTGTGAGTCTGTGCTTGGGGTCTGGATGCTTTGCCCAGTATTTATGTCCAAGACATGTAAGTGTCCATCTTCCATGCCACCTCCAACAGCAAGGACTGCAGACTGCCAGGGACACCAATCCATGGCCTTGAAAGTTCAAATAATCACACAGGCAGCTCAGGCTTGGAGGAAGTGAACTTGTGAAGGTGACACACTTCACACCATATACCACGGCTCTCCTGGAGCTCTGATCTAAAGGCAGGAGCAAAGGCATTCTCTAGAGATTACTTCTAAGGGACTAGAAATCACCTATTAGGTGCCTTCCTCAAATTTTGAGAACAATTTGCCAATATTTTAAACAAAGAAAAATCACCCAATAATATATTTTAAAAACTACACTCAACGTGTCCTATGGGGTAAGAATCTGCTGTTGGAATAGGTGACATGTGCCCCCTGGAATCTGATGATGAAATGAATTTTTCTCTCATTTGTCTACCTGTGTCTTTAGGTTCTAGGTCAGAGAAGAAAGGACAAAATGGAGCCACACATGATTGCTTGCACCCCCAAAATTCTCATGCATTTCAACTCCTAATACATTTCAGAAAGGAAAATTGCTGTTGATTTACTTCCTTATAAATGACTACAGGTAATCCTGAAAAATAAGGTTCAGTATTGTATATTTATGCTGACAATTGAAATGATGAGTAACACTAATTTTAAAGAACAGTCTAATAAATATTTCCAGTGTATTTATCAATGTATCCTTATCTGCATGTCCATCCTGCCATTAGCTGCCCAAGGCTTGGCTCACTCAGACTTCAGAGGCCCTTGGTTCAATTTGCTGTATTTCTGACAAGACACATAAGAAAGTAACTTGTTTTGCCTGTCTTGGGTTTTTCACGTGTTGGGTTTTTGTGTTTTTGTTTTTTGTTTTTTAGTTTGCTTTATTTGGTTTTTGTATTTTGTTCGCAGAGTATTTTACATACATTTTCCCTAGATTTCCCTCAAATCATTAAAGATGGGAATTTGGACCTTAAATCATTCTTAATGTCCTGTGGATATTAAAACCATAAGCCAGAGTACTGAGCCACTACCATGCGTTAGCAGCTAGTAGGACGTATTACACCCTGTATCAGGAAACTCTGTGTTAACTTGGTAAGTTCTCATTCTAACAAATTTGTTCAGAGGTAATAAAGTAGAACCATTTCTTTGTTGTGAGTGATAAATATTCTGGGACAATGTTGAGGTCAAGACATATATCTGTGATGCCAAAGGAATGAAAGTACAGGTTGTTGTTGTTGTTGTTGTTGTTTTACTAGAAATAAGAATTTAAAATACAGAGCAATAAAACAAAATATATTATGCAGAGCTTGATGGAATATTGGTGTAACTCTGAAGCACCCTTTCTCCTCCTCCTTTTCACAGTGGGTTTCCTTTCAGGGGTGTGAGTTCAGGTAGGTCTGGACAGCCAGTGTACCCATCTGTCCGACCACAGTTACTGCTGAGAGATGAGAATGTGCCCAAAGTCACACCAGAGTTCTGGGACTTCTCTATCAGAGTAACAAGGAACTGTAGTTTCTTAATCAGTTCCATCTGGAAGGATCTGAATTTGAAGCTGCTAAGAGCCATCTTGCCCACAAAATGTCTGAATAAAGAATGAAACTCAACAGAGACAGGTAGAGCCAAGAGCCAAAGAGAAAAAGTTTTAATGACATCCTTTAAGGCCCTAGGTCTGGACGGTATTGAAAGCAGCTGTATGTACCCAGGACTCCTCTGTCGAAAGAGAAAATATATTTACATTTGTTTGCAGAAGCTCTTGCTTACCTCTGGTTTCAGTTACTTACAACCACAAAATCAGACACATGGAGGGTATAAATAGGGTTGTCTTTCAAGAGAATGATGGCAAAATCCAAAACAAATTCTAGGGGAAGAAAAATCTCAGAGCATTAGCGTAATGGCTTTGTTCTCAGGTGTGAAGGATGCTCAGTGATCTCTGAGTGGACAGCAACCTGGAAAGCTATTGGATGTCTTACCTTGACTGCTGTAGGTTGGGCTATGACTTTCAGGGGTTGAACCTGGGCTTTTGCACCCGGGTCATGGGGCCATATCATCAGCAGTCCATCACTACAGCCACTGGAAAGCAGCCTGCCATCAGGGGACCACTTGAGAGCACAGACAGCTTGCTTGTGGTGAAGTGTTCCAACGTGATGCTGGGGGACCCGAACGTCGTGATGATAAACACGGCCCAGCCTCGACCCGCTGCACAGAGGTAAAGGGGCAGGTTGCTGACAGAAAACTCAAGCCCTATTGCTAATAAGCAATTGAAAACATGAAAGAAAGCATAGTTCAAGCTACCAAAAGACCCCACAGGACAGATTCAAGACACAGTTTTTGAACATTCGTTGGGTTAATAAGGATAGAGTATTCTGCCTGGGGACTATTCGCACAAGCAAAAAAAATTTCTGTGGCAAAGTATCAAATGTGGATAATGAGATGATATCCTTTGAGAGATACTTTTTTTTTAAGATTTTATTTGTTTGTTTGTTTATTTGAGAGAAAATGCAAGCAAGTAAGAGAATGGGGTTGACAGGGGCCAAGGGAGAGGGAGAAGCAGGCTCCCCACTGAGCCAGGAGCCTGATATGGGGCTCGATCCTAGGGTTCCTGGATCACGACCTGAGCCAGAGGCAGACACTTAACCAACTGAGTCACCCAGATGCCGCATTTTGACAGATACTTCTAATGACTTCAATATGATGCAGGCAGCTATGGAAATGATAAATTTTGAAGATTTCCATATTTCCACAGGGAGTTCTTTATGTACTGAACATACAAAATATGTTTCTGCAATTCAGAATATTTCATATTATCTCAATGCAATATATATTTATAGTGAAATGTCAGAGATAGAAATGTATTATTTCCTTTTTCTGTTAAGCTACAAATCACTATTAATTTTGTTAGTGCCACTCATGTCTAAAAGAGTATAAAACTCTCTGAATGTCACAGCAAACTGCAATGTGATTCGGAATCAGGAGATAATGTCTACTTACTGGTAGTGATTTGGATCCAAAGAATGATAAAGATCATATCACTTTATCAAAGATAATGAACTCCTCCCAGGCTAATTTAATTTTCTCCAAGGAACAAGTAAACAACTACCTACAATTATTTCTGAAATTTCTCAAAATCCAGTGTTGTCTTTTTATTTATTTATTTATTTATTTTAAAGAGTTTTATTTATTTGACAGAGAGAGCACAAGTAGGCAGCGAGGCAGGCAGAGGGAGAGGCGGGGGGTGGGGGGAAGCAGGCTCCCTGCTGAGCAGAGAGCCCAGTGTGGGGCTCGATTCCAGGACCCTGAGACCATGACCTGAGCCGAAGGCAGAGGCTTTAACCTACTGAGCCACCCAGGTGCCCCAGTGTCGTCTTTTTTTTTTTTTTAAGATTTTATTTCTTTATTTGACAGAGATCACAAGTAGGCAGAGAGGCGAGGGGGGGAAGGTTGGGGGGTTGGATGGGGGGCAAAGCAGGCTCCCTGCTGAGCAGAGAGCCCGATGCGGGGCTCGATTCCAGGACCCTGAGATCATGACCTGAGCCGAAGGCAGAGGCTTAACCCACTGAGCCACCCAGGCACCCCCAGAGTCGTCTTTTTAAAAATGATTCAAGCACCACACTGAACAGCCTTCTGATGAACAATATGGGATCTGTGGCCAGACCACCTGGGTTCAAAGACCGACTCTGCCCCTTTTACTAACCATGTGACCTCAGGTTAGTGTCTCAGTTGATTCTTTAGCAACAGGTTGGTTGGAGATTAAAAACAACTCGACACAGAATTACTGCAGGGATTAAAACACATAAAGAGTATAGCAAGCCTGGCACACATTACTCCAAAAATATTAGCTGCTATTATAAGAAAGGATCTGTTCATGGATAATAAAACCAAATTTAAACAACACAGACTGTAAAAGGAATTTAAATAGAGAACTGACCTCACTATAACAACTTCGCACAGTAAATAATTAGCCCTTTATGTGCTACTTTGTTTAAGCAGCTTTAAGTTTGACCTATAATCACAAGATAGTGAAATCTTAAGTTTATATCTCAGGTACTTAAAGAAATTGTAAAAGACCTTGGAATTTACTTAATTTAAACCTACCCTAAGAACTACAGTATAGGGGCCCCTGGGTGGCTCAGTGGGTTAGCCCTCTGCCCTCGGCTCAGGTCATGATCTCGGGGTCCTGGGATCGAGCCCCACATCAGGCTCTCTGCTCAGCGGGAAGCCTGCTCCCCCCTCCTTCTCTCCCTGCCTCTCTTCCTATGTCTCTGCCTACTTGAGATCTCTCTCTCTCTCTCTCTCTGTCAAATAAATAAATCTTTAAAAAAAAAAAAAAAAGAACTACAGTATAAAAATGAATGGCAGTGGTGGGGCACCTGGGTGGCTCAGTGGGTTAAACCTCTGCCTTCAGCTCAGGTCATGATCTTAGGGTCCTGGGATCGAGTCCTGCATCAGGCTCCCTGCTGAGCAGGAAGCCTGCTTCCCCCTCTCCCTCTGCTGCTCCCCTTGCTTGTGCTCTCTCTCCTTCTCTCACTCTTTGTCAAATAAATAAATTCTTAAAAAAAAAAAAATGAATAGCAGTGGGCACCTGGTTGGCTCAGTTGGTTAAGCCTCTGCCTTTGGCTCAGGTCATGATGTCAGGGTCTTGGGATTGAGTCCCGCATGGGGCTCCTGGCTCAACAGGGAGTCTGCTTTTCCCTCTCCCTCTGCTGCTCCCCCTGCTTGTGCTCTCTTTCTCTCAAATAAAAGTAAAATCTTTTTTAAAAATGAATGGCAATTGTTAAAAGCAATTATGTAAGATTGTATGAACAAGTCACTTAAACTTTCTGGTTAGTTAGACTAAATCAGTAGTTCTCAAAAGTGATGAAGCATGAGCATCACTTCAGAAATTAGAAATGCAAATTATCAGAGCCCCTCTAGACCTACTGAATCAGAAGTTCCTGGAGACGGACCAGCAATCTGTGTTGTAAGGAGCCCTTCAGGGGATGTTGATGGGTGCTCAAGTGTGAGAACTGTGGAACTGGCTGATCTATGAGGTTCCTTCCAGCTCTAACATCTGTGGATCTATGAATGGGAAATGTGCCCCAGAAAGCTTACCATATTCCAAATTATTGATCCTGACAGCATTAAATACTTGTTTTCAACAAAATTATCCTCTTGGTAGGTATTACTTGGTGGAGAGAAACTTTTTCCTTAAACAGAGTTTTACCTTTTGTCTGAACAATTTAGTGGATCCTGAACCTCACTTTCCAGTACCAGCACGTGGTGCAGGCGCATAGCCAACATGGTCCCTGTGGCCACTGGACCACTTACATCACCAGAGGAGCAGGATATTCAAGAAGGTAGGATCATAACTGCCTAACTAATATCCTGTTTGGCTGTGGTTGGTTTTGCTTTTGCTTCTGGTCTTAAATATTATAGTTCTGTTCACTCAGCCCCCATAATCACTCGGTGAGACAAATATAATTCATTCCATTAAGATGCTTCTTACCTGCTGAGAATACAGTCATTCCAGCTCAGAGCCCCAACCACCGACAAATGACCAAGCATATTTCTCAGCTGCTTTTTAGTTACCACATCCCATAACTGAAAACAAAAAATGAATAAACAGAGTTACATAGCATTGTCTTTTTCACAGTCCACTGTCTTCTTAAAGGCCTGATAGCAATTAATGTTGCTACTGCCAGCGCTTGTACTAAGGGAAAGCTCAGCTCCTTTAACCCTGGGCAGCATTTCTCAACACTGTCTGTATATGACATCACCGATGGGGCTCGCCATTCATGCTAGCCATTCTGATTTAATAACGGAGGTAGAGTCTGTGGATACGGAGTTTATTTTATGACATTTGCTTTAAAGCTCCCCAGGTGAAATCAATGGGCAGCCACAGCTTGAGAATGGCTCTCACATTTCTAGTTTCATATCTGGAAATCCACCGACAGGCTAAGAGATTCCCTTCCTGCCACCTATATACGATACTCTGACCCATATGAGAAATGAGAATTTCGGTGTGAGAAGAAATCGTGATATAACCTTCATAGCATCCAGTATCACTGTAGAGATGAGAAAGCAGTGAGAGCCATATGTGACCCTCCAAAGTCACACTGAACACATAAGTCATATTGTTTACAGTATTGTTAGTAATAACAATACATGAGAAGTTAAATAGATTGATGGAAACTGGGTAAATTCCCATTTCAGAGAGCCTATCAGAAAAAAAAAATTCATTCATTTTAAGTGACTCTACTCCTGATCATAGCTTCAGGTGAAAAAGGAGAGTTGAAGGTTATCTTTCTCTCTCTGAATTCCTAACCCTGGGGATTCTACAAACCCAACTTTAATACAAGAGAAAAGACTTGTAGGGGCACCTGGCTGGTTTGATCAGAGGAGCATGCCACTCTTGATCTCAGAGTTGTGAGTTCAAGCCCCACATTGGGTGTAGAGATTACTTTAAAAAAAATAAAATCTTTGGGGGAAAAAATACTTTTAAAAAGGTAAATACAGGGGCGCCTGAGTGGCTCAGTGGGTTAAAGCCTCTGCCTTCAGCTCTGGTCATGATCTCAAGGTCCTGGAATCAAGCCCCGCTTCGGGCTCTCTGCTCAGCAGGGAGCCTGCTTCCCCCTCTCTCTCTCTGTCTGCCTCTCTGCCTACTTGTGATCTCTGTCAAATAAATAAATAAAAATCTTAAAAAAAAAAAAAAAGGTCAATACAGCAGAAGGAGATTGTGTGAAGAAAAAAAGAAACAAAAGCTAGGTTGAGTATCCTTAAGTCCTCATTAAATGTCATTCAGAAAAGAACCAGAATCCCGTATCTTCTTACTCCCCATAGTTTCAAGCACCACAACTAATATAGAGTCTCTATTGTGTATTAATTTGTTATTAAAGGTCAGTTTTAGTTATCTAGCAATTACACAGAGCACATTTTGAGGGAAAAAAAAAAAACTGCCCGTTACCTGTACTTCTCCCTCGCTGGTGCCAACTGCCAGGCAGTTTCCATCTTTTACCCAGGACACAGAAGATACATAGTTACAACTGATAGGTAGGTCTATATTTTCAATCACATTGTAGTTTTCCCCATTCCAGATGAATACAGAGGATCCAAGGGCTATAGCAACTAGATTTTGAAAATTCCAATCTAGAGTATTCAGATCTATAAGAAAGGCATTTCATATTACAGTAATAATTTTAGCCAAATAAAAAATATTTTCAACTAACCAACTTTTTTTTACAGATAGATAAATAAAATTAATACCTTTCCCATGATCAACTGGGAAATAGAATCACATAGGTAAACAGATCATTAGAAGTTCAAAAATAAAAACTAGAATTCTGTATCAAGAGTCACAGTCTAGTGAATAATAATCTTACTATTCATACTCAAATGTATTTATTTAGAGTCATTTCGAGAACTTGGAAGTTTCATCTACCATTATTAGTACACATGGATTTTATCTAACAGATCACTAAAAATTAAAAGCACATTTTTTTATTGAAATTATCTGGCCTTTTTTTTTTAAATTTTAATTCCAGTGTATTTAATATACAGTGTTATATTAGTTTCAGGTATACAAAATAGTGATTCAACAATTTTACACATCACTCAGTGCTAATAATGATAAGTATACTCTTAATCCCCCCTTCACCTGTTTCACCCATCCCATCCACTCATCTCCCCTCAGGCAAGGATCAGTTTGTTCTCCATAATTAAGAGTCTGCTTTTTGGTTTGTCTCTTCATCCTATGGTGTTTGTCTTTCTCTGACTGATGTATTTCACTTAGATCCATACATGTTGTTGTAAATGGAGAGATTTGGGGTTTTTTATGGCTGAATAAAATTCAAACATATGTATATTAAAACATAACACATCTTTTTTTAAGATTTTATTTTTTATTTGAGAAAGAGAGCACAGGCATGGGGAGGGGTAGAGGGATAGGGACAAGCAGACTCCCCACTGAGTGTGGAGCCTGATGTGGGGCTCAATCCCAGGACCCCTAGATCATGACCTGAGCTAAAGTCAGACGTTTAATGACTGAGCCTCCCAGGCACCCCCATACCACATCTTCTTTATCCATTCATCTATCAATGGACACTTGGGCTGCTTCTATAATTTGGTTATTATAAATAATACTGCAATAAACATAGGGGAAAAACACCTAACCCTTACAGAGACATCCTTCATCCATATGAAAGATGCCACCATCATTTCAAACCAAAAATACCACCCAACTACAGTCTATCTAGAAGAAGTGATCACTAGCTTATAAGTGATACCTGGAAATTCCTAGCTGTACTCTCCAGTTTCTACTATTAGAACTCTTTGACTGCCAAAAGAAACCATATTTGTATGACCACATATTAAGATGTATCCTGTCTTATTTCTTTTTTGAATTGAGATATAGTTGACATATAACCCTTTCTTATTTCTTATAAGACAAAAATTCTTCTCCTCATTGATACATATCAATACAAAACTATGAGGCACAGCAGCTCCACTACAGTGGCCTAAGCCACCCATGACCACCTCTCCCACTGATGACAACTATAAACTCTGAACAAAATATTAAAAAAAAAAAAAAAAACCTCCCTCAGAACTGGAAAATAAGCAAATGCAGTTAACTAAGTAAGGGAGTCAAAACCAGAAGAAGCAACCTGCCCAGGGGTGAGTTTCTCACTTTTTTTCTCACATGGTTTTGCCAGAGGGTGGGCCCCAGTCACAGAACAGCACCGGCAGCTAAAGCTCTGATAGAAAGCTTACCATCTTTCTGGTGAGAGGAGCCAAGAAAAGGAGCCTGAGGTGGCCAAAATGTGTGGAGAAAGTCCTGAAGGGGAGAGAGCCACAGAAAGAGAGCTACACAACTCTAGTTGTGAATGTAGGAACCCACGCACATCTCAGCCTAACCCTGAAATCATGTTTTTAGGGAAAACTCAGATCAGCTTAGCAAAGGCTTTGAGAACCGAACTGAGTGAAGCATCTATTTAGGACTCAGCCTAGACTCTGGTCCGTATATATGAGGGAAAGACCCAAACCAGCATAGTCAAGGCAGAAGAAACTGATCGGAGACTCAAAACACCACCCACAAAAGGCAAGACAAAACTTAAGGTATAAATGTAACTAAGACAGGGGTATCTGGGTGGTTCAGTTGATAAAATATCTGCCTTCAGCTCAGGTCATGATCTCAGGGCCCTGGGATAGAGCCCCACGTCAGGCTCCCTGCTCAGTGGGGAGCCTGCTTCTCCCTCTTCCTCTGCCCCTCCCCCTGCTTGTGAACGCACACCCTCTCTCCCTCTCTCTGTCAAATAAATAAACTCTTTTTTACAAAATAAAAAATTTAAATTAAAGGTAAGACAAAAACGGCAACATTCTCTGCAGGAGCCTGAGTTAATACCACATAAAATCCACAACGTATAGGACACGATTCAAGATTACTGGACACAAGGAAAACATAATTAATAGATGAAAACCCTAAGATGAATTAAGTATAGGAATTATCAGACAAAGATGCTAAAGCAGTTCTAATAGAATATGCACACAGAATAGAAAAGAATATTCTCCATGAGGTAAAGAAAAAACATACTTGAATGAAAAGAGAAAATATCATCAGAGGAATAAAAAAATAGAAGCTGTTCTATATACAAAGATAATAGAAACTATAAAAATAAAACTGAAATAGAAGCCATATGGGATGCCTGGGTGGCTCAGTGGGTTAGGGCCTCTGCCTTCAGCTCATGTCATGATCCCAGGATCCTGGGATCAAGCCCCACATCGGGCTCTCTGCTGGGCAGGGAGCCTGCTTCCCCCTCTCTCCCTGCCTGCCTCTCTGCCTACTTGTAATCTCTGTCTGTTAAATAAATAAATAAATAAAAACGTTTAAAAAAAAAAGCACAGTAAAGTGGAAAATTTGAAACTGAAAATTACAATATCTGAAAAATCTTCTGGATGGGCTCGGTTGCAGAATGGAAATAAATGACAGAGGAGTCACTGGATTTGAATATAAATCAACAGAAATTATCTTATCTGAAGAACATGTAGAAAAAAATTGAAAAAGAAATGAGCAAACTTCAGGGACCTTTGGAATAATATCCAAAGATCTCATATGTGTAATTAGATTCAGGTCTTGGAAGCAAAAGAATAAGTCTTCAAATTACCTTAGAACTCTCACCAGAAACTATGGAGGCCAGAAGTCCCTATAATATCTTTAAAATGCTGAAAGAAAAAATCTAGCGACCCAGAATTCTACATGCACCAAAAATATCATAAAACAGAATATAAAAAGTGTATCAGAAGTCTTTGCCAACTGACCTGATCTGAAAGATGCTAACAGAAACTTTCAGGCTGAAGAAAATTATATGAGAGGGAAATTTGGATCATCAGGAATGAAAGAGAAGCATGGAATTGCTATATATTTGGGTAAATATGAAGACAGTTTTTCCTCTTTCATTTAAAATGCATATATGTATGGCTTCTTGGAGTAAGATTTTTAACAATGGTAGAGTTTTCAATGTACGTAGATGTAAAATATATGACAACTGCCATAACCTAAAAAAAAGTTAAGGGGGTTACGGGGACCTGTGTGACTACAAAATTTGCATCTACCTACCTATTTGCCAGTCCCCCACTATATCCTCTTCATTGCCATATCATTAATTACCAACATCCTGCCCTTGCTCACATTGTTAACATTGCTGAAAATGCTCTATCTTCTCTCCCCCATCCCTCCAAAACCTACCCATTTTTTAAGACCCAGCTCAAAGCTCAATATCTCCACAAAGTCTTTTCAGACAAAGATGCAAAGATCACTGAACTACTTATAATCATTATAGCTCCTTTTACTCCACAATTCATTACTTCTATTCTATACTAGCATGTTGGTAGAAGTTCCATTGAGTTAATCCTGTCTTCCCAGGGCACCTGGGTGGCTCAGTTGGTTGAGTGTCTGCCTTCAGCTTGGGTCATGATCTCAGGGTCCTGGGATCCAGCCCCACACCAGGTTCCCTGCTCAGAAGGGAGTCTGCTTCTCCTACCTCTCCTTCTGGTCCTCGTCCTGCTCATGTTGTCTCTCTCACTCACTCTCTCTCTCAAATAATTAAAATATTTTTTAAAAAGTCCTGTCCTCCCAACTAGATTATAAATTAGGCACATAACAAGAAGACCCAATGTGGCTGTTTGACTGATTAGATTTATCCATGTTTAAAATATATGCCTAAGAATAGGCTCCCATTCTCACAGTTCATTCTAATACAGTAAAAAAAAAAAAAAAGGTATATTTCTCATATCCCACCAAGACCAAAAATACCCATTCCACACATGAAATTTGTACAAGGAAAAACCAAATTACATTAACTATATTTGGGTAGTACAGCCTTGGGACATGAGGCACAAGGGTCATTGGATTCTTCCAGAAGCAAATTTCAAGTTTATGCCACAGTACAGGATATATTTTGTCACTCCAACTTTTCAATTCATGGTCTAAATAATAACTTACAATAGTCATTTCGAAGACCAGTAAGATGAATCTTCACTTCTGGTTGGAGTATGGAATAGTCTAGATTCCTGAATCTTTTAAGATGGAAGGATTCATCTCTGACTCCATCTCTGCAGCCTATAAAGAACAAACAGTTCCACGTATCTTTATGATCCCATAAGCATAATATCTATGCAGATATTAAGACATAACAAAGTGAAAAAGAAAGTAGTCATCATAATAAAACTGAATTACAAGTTGCAGGAGAAGGGAAGGGAAAAAATTCTTCAGTATTAATTTAAACAGAAATTTTAAAAATAATTCATGGCAATTTTTAATAAAAAACACATGAGTGCCAGACCTAAATGTAACATAAATTGTGGGAAGCACACAGAAACACTATATTATCCTGAATATTTGTTCCACCACTTGAGATCTTAAAATCACAGTAATTTTTGCGTATCCATTTGTCTAGCACATTAACAATTAGCTGAGAGACATAAGCCTTACTCTGAGCCTTTGTCAGTAAATATCTATTGATTCATTTATTTTGACTCTTTTTCTCACGGTTTCTGAACCAGAGCACACAGGTACTTCTGGCTAGTTTTACACATAATGATCTGAGGTCAGGGTCCTATCTTGGGTTCAGTTTTAGTTCTCATCAAAAGACCCACCTAAGTCTAAACCACAGGCCACCATCGTTTCATCTGTCCCACCGCTTGGCTTGTGATCAAACTGAGAATGACATACATTGATAAACACTGAGCCCACCCAGGTAATTTGTGGTCTTTACAACCACATGCCTTCTGATAAAAGGCCTAAGAGCTTCACAACGCTATACCAAGAAGTAGATCGTCACTGCCTTGGTGTTAGCCACAAAGACCTGCATTTGTGCGGAAAACTTAAAGTTTACTAGAAACACTCAAGCACCTCCAATAAAGGTTTTTAAAAAAATAAGTACAAACTTCCAGTTACAAACTAAGTAATGGGGATGTAATGTAAAACATAGCAATTATAGTTACTAATACTGGATTGCATATTTGAAAATTAATAAGAGTAGATCGTAAAAGTTCTCATCACAAGAAAAGAAATTCTGTAACAATGAATGGTGATGAATGTTAACTGGACTTACTGTGGTGATCATTTTGCAATATATACAAATATCAAATCATTGTTTTACTCATAAAGCTGACACTGATGGCCTTTGAACAGCATGGGTTTGAACCACATGGGTCCACTTACATGTGGATTTTTTAAATAAATACCGCACAGCACTGTAAATGTATCTTCTCTTCCTTATAATTTTTTTCTAGTTTAGCTTGTTTTAAGAATATAGTATATAATACATATGATATACAAAATATGTGTTAATCGACTGTTTATCTTATTGTTAAGACCTCCAGTCAACAGTAGGCTGTGAGCAGTTAAGTTTTGGGGGAGTCAAAGTTAGATACAGATTTTCACCCATGTGAGGGGTTACTTTTTGGAAATGTGATCTAAGTAGATTAAAGGAGGTGAATGAAACAGGACAACTAAGTTCTTACCCACTATGCTAGAAAGTTACGATAAAGTCTAAAATATCAAGAAAGAGCAGTTTACAAAGACTACTTAGAAAATAGATGTAGGGCGCCTGGGTGGCTCAGTTGGTCAAGCAACTGCCTTCAGCTCAGGTCATGATCCTGGAGTCCCGGAATCGAGTCCTGCGTCCTGTTCCCTGCTCAGCAGGAGGTCTGTTTCTCCCTCTGACTCTCTCCCTCTCATGCTTGCTCTCTCTCTTTCTCTCTCTCTCTCAAATAAATAAAATCTTTAAAAAAAAATTGATGTAAATAGTAGGGGGAAGAGCTGGAAGAGCTAAAGGTCATTGCCTCTAGGAAATGAGCTTGGGGATGGGACAGGCAAGGCAGAGAATTAGGAGAATTATCGAAACTTTACAATTATATTGATTAGTCTAATAAATATAACATATTCTAATAACATACTCTAAGGTAAGGAAGAAATGAAGGAGGCAGGGAGAGAGAAGGGTAGGAAGGTAGGTAAGAAGGACAAACAGTAAATCTTTGGCCCATACCTTTCCAGGCACACTGGGATTGCTCACAGAGCTGCATTTGCCCACTAACCCACTGAGCCACCTTCTGGGTCGAAAATAGCTGGTTTAGGCATTTCTGAAAGCAAGCAAAGAAATACTTCTCTAGAAATGTGCACATATATCTCAGATGTTATGCATGACAGAGTGTTAAAACTGATAATTTCCTAGGAAGTTCGAGGTTTCCACATTAGCACACCCAAAGCTACGATTGCTGTTATTTACTACCTAACCACTGTGTAGTGAACACAGTGCTGAGCATTCGCGTGTATCGTTTCTAATCTCCCCAGCAACTCCATAGGCAAGTATTCCTCAGCTAGAATAAAATCTTCTTTTAGTCTTCTAACCAAAAAATCCTTTTAGCTCACAAGCCAGCTAAAGGCCAGTGATAGCATCAAAGCCTGCAAGAACTGAAATGTTATGATAGTTCTAGTACATGGTGAAATTGAAAGACCTCCCCAAGACAACAAAATTGAACATTAGTAAGGCTAATTTTTAAGGAAGGTTTCTTTCAAGGGGGCCTCTCAGCATTCAACCTAGAGGTGTTCTTTCACTCTGTTACTTAGATTTTCTCTGGGACTTAATTTTCCTCATCTGTAGTATATCAGAATTGAACTCATCATCTTAAAGGTCCTTTTCCATTAACACCTTTACCTATTAGAACATCAAATCATGGAAATCTTAAGTAACTTGTCTCAGTTTCCCTGAATACAAATATCTGATTGCTGTCTCTTTGGGCCAGTATATAAAAAGCATTTCTGACATTCTTACACCCAACTTCAATCAAAAACAGATAAGAAAATTAGTAGTGGGCGCCTGGGTGGCGTTAGGCATCTGCCTTCGGCTCAGATCATGATGCCCGAGTCCTGGGATCAAGGCCCACGTCGGGCTCTTGGCTCCACTGGAAGCCTGCTTCCCTCTCTCTTGCCACCCACCCCACACCTGTTTGTGTTCTCTGTCTATCTCTCTGTCTCTCTGTGCCAAATAAATAAATAAAATCTTTTTAAAAAAAGAAAAGAAAAGAAAATTGTGGAGGCCAAGAAAAACAAGGCTGTACCCACCTTGAGTCTAGCCCTGACATAAGTATAGCCATCTTGACAAAGCAAAAGCTGGCACCTTGCACCCCCTCTCCACCCGTTCCCCTCCGCTCGGTAGTATATGTGAACAAATAGTTAACTTGTAAAAAATCACAATCCTGCAAGACAGGAGTCTCCCTCGGTTTATAAATGTCCCAGTGCTAAATCTCACTAACAAGGACACTTGATAGGAGGAATGTGACATTCCACCAGGAAACTCCCAACTGTCTTCATGCTAGTGCCTCATTAGAGGGGGAAAAATGGCCTTGGCTTGATAGTAACCAGGCCCTCAATATCCTGACAGTCTTCTTTACCCTGATAGCCTTCTGAATATCTCCTTTGTTCTCACCCACCACCGAGCCCACCCCTACTCTGCCTTTAAAAACTCTGACTGTAATCTGGTTCAGGGTCCAAGTCCCTACTCCGCTGTGTCGGGTATACTTGGGCCCAAGCTTAAGCTTGTCAAATAAACCCTCGTGTGATTGCATCGGTGCTTGGCTCCTGGGTGGTCTCTCAGACGCGAAAACTCGGGCACAACAAAAATTAGTAGGAAGTGTAAAGAAACATACTTACTGGAATTTTCTAAAAACATTTTAATGAACATTTAAAGCCGAGACAATTCCTTATTTTCTCCTTCATGATAATTTATCTGATTATTCCTGTAAAACAATCATTGGATCACCATAATTTTTACAGCAGTCTCTCTTACTGGCATCGTTTTGACATTTTGGTTTTCTTCCCAGATATTACATCATTGCCAGTCAGTGAATAGTGAATTTTTAAGTATTCAAATTAGGACAATCAAGTATAAAGCAGGGTTTCCCATTCTTAGCACCACTGGCACTTGGCAGCAGAGAATTCATTATTGTGGGAGCTGTTCTGTGCATTATAGGACGTTTAGCAACACCTCAGACCATCTACTAGAGGCCTTCCCCCTAGGTTGTGATGAACAAAAATGTCTTCAGACATTGTCAGAGGAGCCCTGGGGAGCAAAATCATACCCAACTAAGAACTGCTGATATAAAATAACATTCCTAAAATCAGTGTAACTCTTCAGAGAATCCCCTCTTCAGAATCCCATAGTTGGCACAAAGTTGACTGAGGCACTGCCCAGCACAGGGCGCTTCTGTCCCACGCACCCAAGGATACTCTTCCCTCAGTAAGATCTACTTATTACTTTAAGGAACAGCTTGGCATAGAGCTGACTGTGTATAATAACTGTGAGCATCTCCAGAGCTATGCTGACGCTTGTCATAGAAATACCCTCCATGTGACCTCTGAGGACCACTCGAAGACACACATTTCCTGTCATTGTGAGAGACCTCACGGTGTATCTGTACCACTCCTGATGCCATCTGACTTCTAACTGGTCATGATAACAAATGCTTGATATGAAGTATTGAAATGGTTTCCATTATCACCTTCCCAGCTTCTTCAGTGATGCTGGGACTCTAATGAAGTTGTGAGGGCAAAGCAGTAAAAACTGCAGTCTGCAAGACGTAGAGTGTGGAAAAGCAGTGGTGCTAATAACCTGGCCTGGGCGTAAGGTCAACCTGCGCCAATGACATAGAACTTCCTGGCTATCTGCACCTCCAAACCCTTAACCAACATGAAAGCACTCGGCAAAAGACCTGCCCTAAGATGTTTGTTTTCAATTGGCATATTCACAATATTGTTCCTCTAGCAAGATATATAGGCCAAACACCGGAAGCACATAGTAAATGAGTAACTTTGCCCAAAATGAGAATTTATGACTTTCCTAGTTTAAAGCTTTCTAAATGAAACCGTGATTCCTTCAGAAGGTCTTCATTGGGTTTGATAAATCTGAAAACATGCTAGTGATATTTAATGTGCCAAAGATTTAGATCAGACTCCTCTAAGATCTTAAAACAATAATAAATAAGATACTTAAAGGAACTAAATTAACTTGGTCAAGACACAAAAAAACAACAACAATAACTTAAGGGAAATATTTAAAAGACCATCTTACAGGGATGCCTGGGTGGCTCAGCTGGTTAAGCGTCTGACTCTTGATTTCAGTTCAGATCATGATCTTGGGGTCCTGGGATGGATCCCCACCTAGAGTCCTGCCTCGAGTTCCACAGGCTCTGCGTTTGGTGGGGAGTCTGCTTGGGATTCTATCTCTCCCTCTCCCTCTGCCCCTCATCCCACTAGCACGTTCTCTCTCTCTAAAATAAAGAAATAATAAGTCTTTAAGGAAAAAAAAAAGACCACCTTATAGAGGAAGAATTTAACTTATCTTGAGAGACCCGGGGGTGGGGGGCAGATCAAGTCACTGAATAGTTGGAAATGATTATATAAAAAAATTTTTGGCTGAGGGGGAGCATACCATAATATGTATAATTTCATTATATTTTTAATCTTTACGTCTTTAGAAAAATCTTTATTTTTTTTAATTCAAGTATAATTAACATACAGTTTTATAAGAGTTTCAGATGTACAATAGGATGATTCAGCAATTCTATACATTATACAATGCTCAACACTGTGAATTTTCTGGAATTTTCTTTGGATTTTTTGATGGTTTTCTTCACTGTGCAAAAGCTTTTTATTTTGGTATAGTCCCAGTAATTTGATTTTGCTTTTGTTTCCCTTGCCAGAGGAGGGACTATATCTTAAAAAATGTTTCTACAGCTGATGTCAAAGAGATTACTGCCCATGTTTTCTTCTAGGAATTTTATGGTTTCAGAGATCACATTTAATGGGTCTTTAACCCATTTTGTGATTCTTCTGTGTATGGTGTTAGAAAGTGGTCCAGTTTGCTTCTTCTGCATGTAGCTGTCCAGTTTTCCCAACACCATTTGTTGAAAGAGTTTTCTTTTTCCCATTGCATATTCTCGTCTCCTTTGTAGTTCCATACAAATTTTAAGATTGTTCTAGCTCTATGAAAAATGCTATTGATCTTTTGATAGGGGTTGCATTAAATCTGGAAATTGCGGGGCGCCTGGGTGGCTCAGTGGGTTAAGCCTCTGCCTTCGGCTCAGGTCATGATCCCAGGGTCCTGAGATCGAGCCCCGCATTGGGCTCTCTGCTCAGCAGGGAGCCTGCTTCCTCCTCTCTCTCTCTCTCTCTGCCTGCCTCTCTGCCTACTTGTGATCTCTGCCTGTCAAATAAATAAATAAAATCTTAAAAAAAAAAATCTGGAAATTGCTTTGGGTAGTACAGACATTTGACAAGATTTGTTCTTTCAACCCATCAGCATGAAATATCTTTTTATTTGTTTGTGTTTAAATTCTTTCATCAGTGTTTTATACTTTTCAAAGTACAGGCCTTTTACCTCCTTGGTTAAGTTTATTCCTAGGTATCTTACTGTTTGGGGTGCAACTATAAATGGGATTGTTTAATTTCTCTTTCTCATGCTTCATTATATATAATGCAACAGATAAATCTGTATACTTATTTTGTATACTGCTTCTTTACTTAATTCATTTATTATCAGTTCTGTAGTCTTTTTTTTATCTTCTTTTTTTTTTAATGAGCATATAATGTATTATTTGCCCCAGGGGTACAGGTCTGTGAATCATCGGGCTTACACATTTCACAGCACTCACCATAGCACATACCCCCCCAGTGTACATACCCTAACCACCCTATCCCTACCCCCCACCCCCCAGCAACCCTCAGTTTGTTTCATAAGTTAAGAGTCCCTTATGGTTTGTCTCCCTCCTGATCCCGTCTTGTTCTGGTAGTCTTTTGATGGAGTCTTTAAGGTTTTCTTTATAGTATCATGTCATCTGAATCTTCACCTTTTTTATGTTTCATTTCCATTTTTTTGATTGATACTAACTAAATTTGTATATTTGTTGGGTATTATTTTTTTTTTTAACAAAGTGCCGCTATTCATGTCCATAACTGATTTTTTTGTCAGGAACCCATCATTTTCTTCCTGATTTGTAAGAGCAGCTGAGCCAGTTCCTTCCTCACATTTGGGACCCATTTGTCTGAGTTTCTCAGGATATGAGATGTCAGTTTTCTCCCTTTACCTACCCGGCCTTTTGAGGCAACAGTTTCATTCCAGTCTCCATCCATCGCATGAGCTTCCTTGCAAAAATGGAAAGAGTTACTTGTTTCGAAAGTCCCTTTGATGGGTGTCTTCAGTGGTTCTTGGTAGGATCCTGCAAGAAAGACATTTAGCTTTTAATTTGTTTTTCAAAACAAGATAATCACTTAGGTTGGTGATCAATCCATTATGTCTTTCACAATAGAATGTGAAGCCACAGCCCCTCATCTCTCCAAAATCCTGGCAGAGGTGGGAAAAGAGGAAGGGTCAGCACAGGGCCTTATCCAGAATGCCAAGCTCATAAGAGAGCACTGCCTCAGTGGCCTCTGTAGGAAATGCCAAGATTAAAGACCTGACTCCCACCACAGCCGCAGCAGAAATGCTTTGTATCTGCTCGGAAAGAACAAATTCACACATTTGAAGAATAGATACAAACAGTTCCCTATTTTAAGATGATGGAGCAAAGGTGTCTGGTTTGCCCAGGATAAGCTCCTCCTGCCAGGAAATCACCATCGGGTGCTTACTTCCCTAATCATTGGCATCTACTCTACGATCATGAGCAAATCACTTTGCCTCTCCCCCTCCCTTTTATAGAAAGATGCTGTAAGTATAGTTTGAGATGATGTCAGTGAGATACTTTCTAAATTAAAGTAATAACAGTCAGTGTTATTTGTATCATTATTATTCATACTGGTTCTCTTCTCAAGATTGAGAAAGCCCTTTACCAGACTTTTAACTGTACAGAAAACCCTGTCCTGTCACCCTCTAAAACTAAGTATCTTTTATGTCCATTCATATCACTTGTTCTTCAGAGGGTCCAAGGGACCACTGAAAAATCTTACATACATAATTATAATCTTTAGAAATCATATACCAGTACAAACCTCAAAAATGCATCTAAAACACTACATACTGTCTTTTGGTTTTGTTTCATTTCCCACTCCACTCCCCCACCACCTTGAAAATTTCTCATTCAAAGGAAGAAAAGGAAAGCACTTGATGAGTGCGATACTAGATAGTTCTACGAGACAAAGATTCTCTCAGGAATATCTATTTCATTAACATTTTTAAGATAGCCTCTGAAATTTCTATTACCTCACCTAGAATCAAAGTCTCTTTCTCAGGCGTTATCTTCAGCACGGATCCAGAATCTTCTGGGAGGTAAGTGGTTGAAAGCGCTTCCCCAAAGGAGCAGGCTGCCAGATCCCTGGTTTGGCTTTGCTGCCATCTAGTGGTAATTGGGCTACTGGCAATGGGACCCTCCACCGACAGCCTCTTCACAAAGTTGCTCTTGAAGCTAGAATATGTGGGCTTAATTTCATCAAACACCTGTTTAACCAAAAAAAAAAAAAAAAAAAAAAGGCTGTAATTTATAGGAGCCTCAATGATGCAAAAGTAGGGATTCCTTAAAGGAGAATTATAAACAACTCATCTAGTACAAAACAAACTATATATAAGATTTTAATTTTGTGACCTGAGAGAACATTGTATTTATAAATATATATGTGTGTGTGCATGTGTATACTTGGAGCCTCTGTTTAAGGGTCTCAAGACATATAAAAGCGGCTTAGGAAATAATTATGTTTACACTTATTACAATTACATATCAATATAAAATATGAAGTTAAAATAACCCTATATATTGAACCGACAAAATTTTTATATAAAATCACAAAATTGCAAATCTGGAAATAAACAGCAATTTTCTAGTTCAAACTTTTCATTTCACAGATGAGAGAACTGAGGCCTAATTTGCTCAACATTCATCTCATTCCCACCAAGAAACCCCAGGAGTTTGGTATTTCCAGAGCCTATAATGGTGAAACACGCCATGTTATCTACATGAAATTCAAATGCAAATGAAAAACTGGAAGTATATTTTTATTTGTTTATTTATTTTTTAAAATATTTTATTTACTTATTTGGCAAGAAGAGAGATCGAGAACACAAGCAGAGGGAGAAGCATGTTTCCTGCTGAGCAAGGAGCCCAATGCAGGACCGGATTCCAGTAGCCTGGGATCATGACCTGAGCCCAAGGCAGACCGCTAACCTACTGAGCCACCCAGGCACCCCTCATTGTCTGGGATTAGGTTAAACCTTAACCAACTAAGCCACCCAGGCACCGCAGAAGTATATTCTTAATAAAATGCCAGGCATGTTAGATTAATATCTTTGTGTAAAGGACTCTTAGAGAAAGTTAGACAAATTTGCAAGCCAAATAGAAAAAAAAATAGGGCATAGGACCTAAAAAGACAATTCACAAAAGAATATAAATGCCCCCAAAATATTCAACCTCACTAGTAATCAAAGAAATGCTAATTTAAAACAATAACAAGATGCTAGCAATGATTTTTTTTTTATATATAACAAGCCCCAAGGGTGAAGTTTCCAGAAACAAACACTGGCATACATTGCTGGTGGAGCATAAATTAGTATTTGGAAAAGACAATTTGGCAACATGTGTCAAAAGCCTTCAAATATGTGTATAATCTCTACTAACCCAGCAACATCACCACTAAGAATGTAAGGAAGAAATTTTTAAAATGAGCAAATATCAGTAAAACCAAAATCTATTGAGTGCTTGCCACAATATGAACCCATATGTTAAAGGTCTACACACATTCGTATTTAATCTTCAGAAACACCTGTGAAGCAGGTTTGTTATTTATTCCCCTTCTACCAATGAAGAAACTGAGGTTTAGAGGTTAAGTGAATTGCTTAAGCCCACACAGTGAGTCAGTGGAGATGCTATACCCTAATCTCCTCTGACTCCAAGGTCCACCCTTCCAGCAGGGAACATGCGGTGGTTACTGCAGTGGTATGGTTAGAGGGCAAAACAATGGGAAGGACGCAGTGTTTACCAGTGGAGAACTGACAAGATAGGCATCCTTAAAAGAGACTATTCTGTAACCATTAGAAATTAGAAAATATAGGGGCACCTGGATGGCTCAATCATTAAGCATCTGCCTTTGACTCAGGTCATGATCCCAGGGTGCCTGGATTGAGCCCCGCATCAGGCTCCGTGCTCAGCAGGAAGCCTGCTTCTCCCTCTCCCTCTCCCCCTGCTTGTGTTCCCTCTCTCACTGTGTCTCTTTCAGTCAAATAAATAAAATCTTAAAAAACAAAAAAAACAATTAAATGTCTGTACTCTTCATTTTGGCTCAGGTCATGATCTCAGGGTTGTGAAGTCAAATTCCATGTCAGGCTCCATGATTCTCTCTCTCCCTCTCCTTCTGCCCCTCCCTAACCCTCTCTCTCTTTCTCTAAAAATTAAAAAAAAAAAAAAAATCTTCCCTTCTAAAAATATATATATGAGTAAAATAAATGAATCAATTTGAACCAAAATGCTAAGTAACTAACAAACAGTACACATGGCAAAAACACAGAGGTGGTATGCAAATGACTCTAGGTTAGGGAATCGCTGCATTTTTTGATTGTGATATTTCATCTTCGGTGTTTTTAAACTTTTATTCCAGGATCTATCTCTTGCTGAGGAAATGACTGTCATATAGTTCTAAACATCTCGAGTAGATAGTAAGAAAGAGGAAGAGAAGAAAAATAAGACAAGGTACAATAAAGGGGAAAAGGATGAATGACTCAGTACTCTAAGCACATCAGTTTGGCTTGTTTACCTTTTATTTTTATTTATTTTTTGGAAGGAGGGGCCGAGGAAGAGGGAGAGAGAGAGAATCTCAAGCAGGCTCCACACCCAAGACAGAGCCCCCGCAGGGCTCGATCTCACCACCGTGAAATCACACCTGAGCCAAAATCAGGAATCAGAGGTTTAACTGACTGAGTCACTCAGGCGCCCCATAATATCCATCACCTTATTTTTGAACCTCCAGTGTCTACTCATACTGGTGGGCAAAAACCTAAGCAAAAACTTTTGAGATCATTTTCAGATACATTTTATTTAGTTCCCCACTGCCCCTGGGGGCTCCCGAGTACCTTGAGTATCAATCCCTTCCCTTCTGTTACGTTGACCAAAGCTGCTTTCGTTAAGGCTCCCTCACCTCTCATCTTCTCTGCAGACTCTGTGGCCCCTTCCAGATCGCTTCAGTACACTTGGCCAAGCTGCTCTGCTGTTATTCTCCAGCCCGTCTCCTCTTTGACCCGTTCAGTGATTTCTTGTAAAATTAAATGTCTCCTAATGAATCAAACTCCTTCACCAGAGTATGACAGGAATCTTACCTACCATGTTTTCTTCTAAGGAAACATATCGTGTCTATTACAGAGAAACTGTTGAAAGAAGTTGAAGTAATTTGGGTTGTAAAGTTAAAATTCCTAAACTCTCTTCTTGCTTGTTCTATTTACTTGTTACAAATTTCTTCCTAGTTGAAAGAATTATTGCCGTCTACCTGTAGAGAGCTTTGTACTACACAGGATTCCTTTTAATATGTGTATATATGTGTGTACACGTATATCTGTACATAGAATTTATAAATAAATTGTGCGCAGTATAAAGCTCTCTACAAACAAGAGTCTTTTATTTGGCAGTCGGTGATTTGCTGCCTTATAGTTGTTCCTCCAAGCATTTCGTGTGTGTCTTCTTGTCTCTGAAACAGATTTCAAACTTGTATGAGGCAGGCTTCATTACTGACACTTTATTTTTATCCTCCACAGTGCCCAAGCTGTTTGATTCACTGAGTCAACTGCCTTATCCCATTCTTCTCCCAAGAGGTTCCCTTGACCTTCACCTCATCATTCTCTTCTCCTCCTTTAGAAAGCCTTCCTTGATCTCCTGAAAGAATGCTGTTGATTTTTCTAGCATACAATCTCCTATGCAGAGAAATTTATAATGTTGGTATATTTATAAGTTGAGAATGGTTTTAGTATAGACAGAACATGGAAACAATGATGACAGAGTCCCCAGAAAACTAAGAAATGATGATATCAAAATATATACAGAGAAAGACTCTGACAAATGAAGAGATAGTCTCTAAAAAACAAAGAAAAAAGAAATGCCTAAGGGCCAAAATCTATCAATGTTCAGTAACATCCAGGCTGGAAGTTACCCAAACTGTCCTCTTGAATGTCTGATTAATGGGCCTAAATGGATATTTATAGATCATTCATATACAAAAAAACTTACAAGGTTTAAAACCACATATATATGCTTTTTTATATATGTGCATGTATGTATGTATGTATACATAGATACATACATGTGCACACACATATATGCACACACACAGTCAATTTTTCCATCTCCACCACAGTACTCTTGAGTTGCTGCTGCCGTCTCCACCCACCTGCAGTGGGTGGTCGTGCGGAACTGCTCCAGCTTCCTGATCAAGAGAAACAAGCAGACACACAACACCGAGCCCAATAACCTGAAGGCTCGCAACTCCTTTTGCTACAACCTGCTGACTTACCGCAAGACTGCAAGGCTTAGACCCGGCACACCATGGCATGGCTGTAGCGGTGGTCATGAAGTGGAGATCCAGCCAGTGAAAATCCGCCACCTCCTACGGGCAGACCACCATCAACAAGAATGCCCGGGCCCCCCTCAGCAGCATCAGACGCGTGATCTGCAAGAACAGGGACTGCCCAGATCTGCGCATGTCTGCCGATCGCAGAATCCCCGCGCCATCCTGTTCAACCTGGACCCGGGGATGCTGAGGAGGAAGCAGGCCGCCCCCTGCAAGGGCCCCTGGGCACCTGCACCCCAGCCCCAAAGCAATAAGGGTGTAAAACACCTAAAAAAAAAAAAAAAAAAAATGTCGTATCTAGAATACTTTTAAACCGTAAGAGTCATAATATTAACAAACTGATTTAGCCCTGACGAGATTTATTTAAGTTTTCCAAATAGTTTTAATTGGGTGAATCTTCTGGACAAACGAATGTGCGACATCAAACCGGCACAGATGTTCTATTTCTGGTTACTAACTGACATGTGGGCTTGTACAGAATCTCTTGTAAGTTTATACAGCAAAACTTTGACATTCTCAAAGGCCAAGCTCTGCAGTTGATGAAATTACAAAACAATGAACTAGAAATTATCCTAATGATTTTATCGAAGTAATACCACCCTATGGGACCCTGCCTGGGGTCTAGTCAATCAGCATCTTCCCAGAGGTAACCCTTTGTCCTCTCCCTCAAATCACCCTTATAATGGAAGGGGTTTACATGGTTCAAATTACAGCAGATGTTCTATGAATTAACTTTTTTTTAATTAACTTTGGAAACTCAAGTTCCTGAGCCATTTCCTTGAACAGCCTGAGGAGCAAATCAAGTACCCAGTGTAGACATACAGTCATGAAACCTGTCTACGATGGAAGACAGGCGGAAACCAAAAAACCTCGTTACTCTGAAATAAAAAAAAAAAAAAAAAGATCGAGGTCTAACGTTTCTCAAATTTAAATGCACACTTGAGTCATGAGCTGGTCTTATAAAAATGCAGATTTTGATTCAGGAACTCTGAGATAGGGCTCAAGCCGCTGTGTGTCCTAAAAGCACCCGGCAATGGCCACGCTTGGAGCCCAAGGACCTTGCACTTGGAGCAGGGAGGTCAGAGCATTTAAGTCCAGGTGTCCTATAAAGTTTGACTTCATCAGTAACTCAGCTAGAAAGCACCCAAGGAATGCTATCATAGTTAAGAGATGATACAACATGTTTTGTGTACATTTTTGTTCTTTACCAGAAATTACGTTTATAGGAGAAGACTTTTCTGTTGTGTCCATTCTTACCAGGCTCCACGAGTGGGAATAACGTGGTTTATCAGTCTCTGACAGGTTGTGCCTGGCTAAGCTGTGGATTCGGCTCATCTACCCCCAAAAGCACACACCACAGATGCAGGGCCCAGAGGCAGAGCTGCCAGCCTCCTGAGCACATCCTCTAAAGCCCAAAGATCTGTGGTGGGAAAGGGCACTCCTATGGTTTTTCAGATCATTCCGTGCACTTCTTCCTAGCATTTTTTAAAAAAGATTTTATTTATTTATCAGAAAGACAGAGAGAGCACGCACACAAGCAGGCAAAGTGGCAGGCAGAGGCAGAGAAGCAGGCTCCCCCCTGAGCAAGAAGCCTGATGCTGGACTCAATCCCAAGACCTTGGGATCATGACCTGAGCCTAAGGAAGCGGCTTAACCCACTGAGCCACCCAGGCGTTCCTTTCCTAGCATTTTCAACAAACACACCAAGACCCCAAGAGTCAGGCCCACGTAGAATTGAAGCACCTTCATTTGAAACTTCCTGTGTGTCTTAGGGAAGAGGCTAAGGTGACCCAAGGACGGCAGCCCTCAATTTCCCATCCATTCCTACCCCTGAAATTTTCAACAGTAAAGTTAGGCCTCCTGTAAGAGGCAACAGCCATGGGAAAAACAAAGATGAAAAAAGAAGAAGAAGAAGAAGAAGAAACTAGATGATGCACCCAAGGAGAAGTGGATTCGGGGGGTTTCCTTGTTGGTTTTGCCTTCTTGATAGAATTGTCTAATTTAATTTTTAAATTCCTGATTTATTATAGAGTTCAGTATTTTTTTTTTTTCTGTCTACAGGTTGCAGCCCCTTAAATCACTGTCATGGGTTGGAACCAGGCTGTTTTAAAACTGCCACAGGCGTATCAACATTCAGAGGGGAAGTATTGTTTAATGAAACTTCTCAGTTACATATGTCTGCGTACTGAGTTAAATTGTAAAGTGCATTTCTTAGTGGGGATCCTGATCAAAAATTTGAAAAACACTCGACGATATTTTGCTTTTTGATAATGGAGTGTTCTTTAAAGCCTTCGTTGTGTTTGCTTTATTTTTACTATAGTCGCCTGGCATTGCCTAAATTAGATGAGTTCAGGGTAAGCAGCCCCTTCACATATTTCTCTGCCCTTTCCACTGCAAATTCCTAGAACTCATGTAGTAAGTTCATACGTTATATGTATAATACGTATAATATTAAATTCCTCCAGACTATCCATAATATTAACAGGCCACATTTAATCCACCTCTGAACTATTCCTGGGTGGTATTTACCTATTGCCCTACATTTAACCCACTACTGGGAGTGCTCAATCCACAGCTTCTGCCTTACAAGGCAGAAGAGTTAAAGAGTTAATCAAAGAGTTATCCAAAAAGTCCTGATTTTTCTAGCAGATTTCAGTGGGCACCATAAATACATTAAAATTCTTTAGCACTCCTTTATTTTATGCAGGACTTTCACCCCTTTCCCTATGTGAGAAGGGTCTTTCTATTCTGCAACAGTAGTCTGTCCCACTTGGTTTTCCGTTAAACAGAGCCGGTGTCAAGTTTCAGCTCCTCCTTGAATTCCAGCCCGCTGAGACGTCCCTCTAGAATCATCCAAAATGGAGCCGCTTACAGCATACCCTTTAAGATGTTCAGGGTCGAAAGCAAAGGTATTTGCAGTTTTACTGTCTATGGTTCTATGCACAGTAATGTTATTTCTTCTACAACTAAAATTCCTAAAACCTAAAATCAACAGCTTTTATACCTTCGAAGTGAAAGATGCAAAAGGAAGAACGGTTTCTCTGGAAAAGTTTAAAGGCAAAGTAAGTTGCATCTTCTGATTTTTTTTTGTCTATTGTTCATTCATGTTCTCTGTTTAATGAAATCAATTTTTCATTATTAAAGGGTCGTAAGTTATACTTTAGTCTAAAAAGTAATGTTGTTTATCACTTTAGCCATCAAAGTTCTCATTGTGTATCTACTTCTAGTTGATAAAGTCTGTCCTGTCTTCAGAGGCATGCTGAATTAATACTTTAAGTTGTTTAGGAAATTCTTATAGTTAGTAATGTGACTATGGAGGCCTTAAAAAACATTAATTCCATAATCTAGCAACATTAAAAACCACTCTTATCGATGTTACTATCTTTTATTTAAAAATAAGCCATTGTATCCAATGCTTTTTTAACGGTGGTGATCTTTCAGTCTTGATTCATGCATCCAGGTTACAATTTTCAATAAAATTGGGTATATGTAAAAGTATGAAATAACTATCTGCTTCAAAATGGTTTGGGATTTTAACTACTTGCAGACTTTTTTTTTTTTTTTAATCTTTTATTTGCTTCACTTTCCGGTTGGATTTTTTTCTTTTTCCGGGAGGTTGCCCTAGTTGTAAACGTGGCTAGTGACTGCCAACTCACAGACAGAAATTACTTAGCACTGCAGGAGCTACACAAAGAGTTCGGACCATTCCACTTCAGCGTCTTGGCCTTCCCGTGCAATCAGTTTGGAGAATCGGAGCCCCGCCCAAGCAAGGAAGTAGTATCTTTTGCAAGAAGTAACTATGGAGTGACATTCCCCATCTTCCACAAGATTAAGATTCTAGGATCTGAAGCAGACCCTGCATTTAGATTTCTTGTTGGTAAATATCTATCTTGCCTCGCCAGTTTAATGTTTTTAATTGCTTTTCCTTTTTAAAACAAGAGACCAGGACCATACTTCTCTGTTTCATTTGAAATGTTTTAGTGGGAAAGTTTGATAAAATACCGAAGAGCCAGAATCTCATGTTTTGTAATTTTCTAGAAGTTCTGCTTCTCTGAAGTCAATGTTTCAAACCTCTTAAATGGCAAAATGAGTCTACTCCAATGTATTTTATTCCTTATGATCATTTTCCTGAAGAATTTATCTGAAGTGTGGTCATGGCTATCTTCACAAAATATCTTCACAAAATAGCTCTCGGGGAAATGTCCCTCCCCACTTTAAAGCAATCTATGTCTCATGAATATTGCCGGGCATTATTAGTAGACATATCTTTGTGGTTAATTTTATGTTGTTTTACTTGTCTGAGATACTGTCTTTAAGGATGAATAATGTCTCGGTTTACCAGGTTTTTGCTAAAATTATAACAGAATATAAGGATTTTTTTTGGAGGCGGGTATATTAGGCTATGTCTAAAATTAGACGAGCTACAGAAATCTGTTTAAAGATTTTTCTGGGCCAAAGGTAGTGAGATATAGTGACTAAGGGCATTGGTTTTAGCTCCATTCTCTGGCTTCAAACCCCTACTCTGTTCCTTTTGCTGTGTGGCTTCAGGTACATGAGATAACTCCTCTGTGCCTTCTTCCTCATTTGTGAAATGAGACTATTAATACTACCTACTGCCTGACATTGTTTGTATTCCTAAGTATATTACTAGCAAAAAGCAAAGTATTTAGATGCTGCTTATACCTTGCCAAACACTACTCTAAAGGATATTCAGCTAATGTCCTCTCATCTGACTTATACAGATGATATCCTCGGTCCTATTTTCACAGATAATTTGAGTTTTCATTAAACAATGATCTCCATCAGATAATCAAGCTTCCAGTCCAGGAAGTCAGCTAATGATACTCTACAAAATTTAAGTGTGAAATCAGAGTCTTTTAAAAACATATTTAATTTCTAGGGAAAATTAGCACAATGCTTAATACCCTGCATAGTAATCAGAGTAATATCTTCATTCCTTCTATTTCCAGGATAATCTGAGGAAAGACAAGCCAGAGCACAAGTCCTTGTAATCATTTTCAGTTATAGCAGCCAGATACGTGGGCATCATAGCTCCTGAGTTCTCCCCCTTTGTCACTAAAAAAGCTTCTGAAACTCCACCTACCCCATGTAATCAAAAAAACTAACAGTGACTTAAGGTTTCAATGACGTTAGATGAAGCTCCAGAGACAAAGACTCTGAGATCCTAGTCAAATGAAAGTTACATCTTTTTAAAACAAGCCAAAATGGACTGTAACTGGTCACATGGTCACAAGCAGGACCATTCTGCCCATGTGTGCAGTTGTCACTAGACAGGGCATCTGGACATGGAGGCTCATGGGGACTGGAGCTTGGCCACAGCAAGGCTGTGTGTTGAGGGGGCTGTACCCACCTGGAAAGGTGTCTTTTCCTAATTCACATCAAGATGTTAGGTCAGCTAGAAAGAGCTCTGCCCTGACATGTAATATCTTTAGAGACGCATTTTTCATTACAGAAAAGGGCAATTTTTCAAAATGATTTTGAGACGGTTTTCATGTGGTGATATAATACGCTGAGTCACTGATGTTTGCTCTATCAGAAATATTTTTCTCTAATAATGAAATAAATTGAACTGCTTGGCACAGTGCACAAAGTAAAGCACATTTAAGTAATCAGGCTACTTTTTATTTCTTATTTTTAACCTATGCTCCCTCGTTGGTTCTTTCTCCCAGCACAAAGTATTGTACACCTTAAAACTCTAGGCAGTGTGTTCCTTCTACCTATTTAATCTCGATTTCTGAAAGAATAGTTAACACTTGTTACCTCTACTTCCCTGTCTCCGTTTCCTTCTTAGATCACTGTGTCTGGCTTTTTGCCAGGATCTCCTGAACCTTACAGGTACCAGTGACTGCCACTCTGGCCCCTTCCCTTTCTTCTTTTCAGGTTCCTCCTTTCCATCAACCCTTAATTCTGCTGAGCCTCGGGATTCTGCCACAACCCACTGGGGCTCTTCTTATTCTATCCCCTTTCCCTGAGTGAACTCTCTCTCCTAAGATCCAAAGCCATATAGTCAGTGGCCTCCTCTGACTGGATGACCCACATACACCTGAATCCCCTCATATACAAAAACAAATTTGTCATTATTGTCCTAAAATCTGCTTGCTTTTCCATAGGAGTAGGAAGGTCTGTGTATCAGTCCTGGTTCTACCACTTACTAGCCATGAGACCTTGAGTCTAGGACTCCATTTTTCTCATCTGCAAAATGGGCTTAATAATAATATCCACCTCACGGGGTTGCTGTAAAGATTAAATGGAAGGACCCATTTAGAGCAATGAGCACACATTACTAGGTACATAGTAAACAAGGTATTTATATTTTTTTCTATGTTAGTCAATGCACATCAATTCTGGGTAGTGTAAGTGGAAAAAAATCTATATTTCTTACATAAATTGAGATGTATCAAAAGGACAGCATAATTTCTCAATATGATTTAACACTGTATGTTAACTGGAATTAAATACTTAAAAAATAATGTGATAAAGAATTCCTTTCCATTTTTGTCTACATTACATGTAATGATATTAAAACCATAGATAACATTTAATATGAAAATAATTCCATACATGCCATTACCAAGGACCATTGGAACATCATTTTATCTCTAAAAATGTTAGGAAACTGAAAATTTTGAGTGACAAAGTAAATTTTTTTTTGTTTAGATCTGATGCAAAATAAACCACTTTCTTTCACGATTCCAGATCAGTAGAATCATCAGTGAAGTCACCAAATATACAGAAATATGGTTACTCAAAGCTTGAGTTTTGCTTTATTTGGGTGTTTTGCTTTTTGTTTTGTTTTTGACATTCCTAGAACTTGATTCTAACATTGTCACTTACATAGATACTAATAGAAATGACAAGCTTAGCAAAAGAATAAAATCATGCTCATGAAAATATATTCTGGTATTTTAGATTCATCAAAGAAGGAACCGAGGTGGAATTTTTGGAAGTATCTGGTCAACCCTGAGGGCCAAGTTGTGAAGTCCTGGAGGCCAGAGGAACCCATTGAAGTCATCAGGCCTGAGATAGCAGCTCTGATTAGACAAATGATCTTAAGAAAGAAAGAGGACCTGTGAATATGGCAGTGAGTCATTCAGACACAGTAATCGGAATATAGACATGTCAGGGCGGGGGTGGGTGGGTTTCATCTGAAGACTCTCACAATAAAATGTGGCCCTGAAGGATGGGGTGTTTTATTTTTAGGATACCTTGCTGGTGAGTGGTAATGATTGTCCCCAAGACAGAGATATTACATAAAGCAAAAATAAAGAGTAGCTAAAAAATCAAAATGCAATATATTAAATATTTCATCTGACCACACTGAATAATTCAGAATACAGAGTCACCAATGTGCGTCAATATCCTGTTGTTCACCTTGACATTTTCCAGGATTGTACTTAATGGAAATGCCAACACACCAGACCACCGTTTGAATTCAAGGCACTGTATGTGACTGAAATTTCAGGAGTAACTAAATGTAAATGGCTATTTTTATGTAATAAAATACAAAATAAACATTGAAAAATGTGAAATAGATTCAAATCCCTATATACTTCTGTTTCATGTACAGGATTTTGTTTACTTGTTTGATTTTTTTTTTAAGTACAGGTTCATAGTATATTTTATTATATCTGCCTGAATAGTCACTGATGAATGACACTATCCTAACTCTTGAAAAAGCCTTCATCACTTTCAGTTATTTCTAGGTTATTTTCCAGAAGCAACTCAAATTTTGTAAATAGAATATTAATAGTTGAATTGCAAGCTTTATTTCTGAATGAAAATCCTAAGTGTAAGAAAAAGACAGTATTTGATGATTTAGCTCAATTCTTGGTACATTAATTTTGGTTGCTCATATATTCAGACTAGATCAGCCATTTGGAAAGAATTCCATGCTACATCATTCTGACAGCTGAAACAGTCAGACTCAACTCTGAATCATCAAAGGTCTGAATGTAAACAAAGAGGTTTGCAGTCACAACAGTCTTAAACATCAGCAGTCACCCAACCCTTTGATAGAGCCACAATATGCTTCGTCTCCCAGTCATAACTTTTATGTTGTCAGTCTTACAATTATTAACTAACAGAGCAACCTGCCAAGTTGGTGAAGTCTAGATATTCATTTCATATCTTGGTAGATATTCATTTCATGAATTCAATAGGAAGACTAGGGCAAAAGAAAAAAAGGGAAAGGCAATCATGTAAAATTTGGCTAAGAAGGAAGACCCAATCTCAAAAGCCATGGCTCCCAAATTCTGACGTGATTAATGAAAGTGAAGAGGGTTTTTTTATGGTGAAGTCAGTAATGCCACCTCAGTATATAGTTCTGTACAAGTGTTTAAAGTTCTTGGAGAAACCAAAAATTTATTTCTTGGATCACCTTCTGCTTCAAAGTATATGTCTAAACACCCACAGTTGGGGGTACAGGTACAAGAACGTCAGGTTAGTATGTCAGCAAACCTGCTTGTACCCTTCACCAGCCATATGATCTTGGGCAAGTCACTAGACTACTTTTAGATTTGCTCAGCCATAAGTTGAGGTCAGACTGAACAAAGAGTTCCTTCCAGCTCCACCAGTCAAGGACCATGCTTAACAAGGTGTCTTCAGTGATCAGGAATAGAATCAGTACTGATCTGAATTGTTTTTGAAGAAATAGAAGCCCTCAAACAAGCCTATCTGTCCTTTGCGATTTTACCCCCAAGAGTATAGAAGCAGTTTGAATTCTGAGCCTCTCAGCAAAATTTTGTTCAGGTCAAACACTCCAAGTATTGCTCCCAGAGCACTCTTGCCCTGGGACAAGTGCCACAGGGCTGCTTCAGTGTTTTGTGTGCTCACGTTAGGGTATGAGCAGAAGTGTATATGGTAGCCCTATGCAGGCTGTGTAGACTCCCCACTGTCCGACCCTAATAGAGCTGCCCTAGGGACCAACCAGGACTGTCCTGGTGAATGCAGTTGAGATGTCCATTCTGCCCAAAGTCACTTGTTCTCCAAAGCCATATAAACTGGGTTTTCAGTTACAGATCTCCAATCCTGGTTGTTTATTCAACCTACGGTATCTACTATTGTCAGTGCTTGATTCTCTCCCCTTGTCCTTTGGGGATGCAGGGAAGGCAGGTGGGGATTTGAAAGTGTGTCAAGTGGGTGTCCATTGAAGGTTCTGTAACAATGAGGCTGTCTGTGCTAAAAGAGGGTATGGAGCTATTTGCTGATGTCCTGCTACCCATAACTCCAATGTCTTATGTGAATTCCACCAGGTGCACACATACAGAGGGAAAAAAAAATAGCTTTCATGAACTGAGCAGATCTTCCCTGTCTCAGCATCAAAAAGCCTGAGACACAGACTACTGTCTAAATTGAGGAGTATAACAGAAAACAGCTGGCATCCCATCAAAGGGTATTCAGTGGCCATTATGACAAAGGGACAAAATCAAATGCATTTAATTGTGATAATTCATAGGCTTGAAGTTTGGCTTATTGGGAGGGTGGGAAGGAGTACTGCATTCTAACTCCCAGTCTTCATCTCATGGCACATATAGCCATACTGTCGGAGACTGGAATAAATATGAATTTGCCTGAGATATATCCTGAAAGTCATACTTCATTTTTTTAAATACTTAGTAATTAGAGTATATCCATAGTATGTATAGAGGTAGCTATATACAGTTCCTAGTAATTATGGAACAGATAGCATATACCCGGTGGCTGATAACCATCACATCTCTGGAAGAGGGGTCCCAATTTGCAGCACTTGCCAATTTCCATGGTTTAAATGCTCCCACGTGGCCAACTTCCATCTACCAATGGCTTAATAACTAGCATGCCAAATTTCTGAAAATTTAACAATCATTTCTCACAACCCACTATCAGTGGGCTCTAGGACACCAAAATTCTTTTTTTTTTTTTTTTAAGATTTTATTTGACAGACAGAGATCACAAGTAGGCAGAGAGGCAGGCAGAGAGAGAGGAGGAAGCAGGCTCCCCGCAGAGCAGACAGCCCGATGCGGGGCTCGATCCCAGGACCCTGGGATCATGACCTGAGCCGAAGGCAGAGGCCCAACCCACCGAGCCACCCAGGAGCCCCTAGGACACCAAAATTCTTAAAAATCAGACTTGTTGGGATGCCTGGGTGGCTCAGTTGGTTAAGCGGCTGCCTTCGGCTCAGGTCATGATCCCAAAGTCCTGGGATCGAATGGAAGAACAGCTTTAAATATGTATTGATCATTGAGTATGAATGTTGGCATTTTATGTCTTGTTCTTTAGTTAAAAAATTAAAACACAAAGGCCAAGCCTTCTTAATTTAGTAGGTTTTATTTTTATCAACAGGTCAGAGACTTTCCATAAAAAAGAACACACTGAAATTTAACCTTTTAAGAAAAAAGAAAATGAAAATAATATTTATGTGGGAAGGATCCTTAAAAAATGCTGAAAATAAAATGATAATGGGCAACAATGAAAAGAGAATGAGATGTGAAAGTAGCAAAATGCATAAAGAATCCAATTATAGGCATATCTCCCATGATTTACATGTTTAAACTTAAAATAAGAATTAAAATTGTAATTATAATTGTAATTTATAATCCAGTAGAGTAGACTGTAATATATTTCTTTTTTTTTTTTTAAGATTTTATCTATTTTTTTGACAGAGATCACAAGTAGGCTGAGAGACAGGCAGAGAGAGAGGAGGAAGCAGGCTCCCCGCTGAGCAGAGCCAAATGCAGGCTCGATCCCAGGACCCTGGGATCATGACCTGAACTGAAAGCAGAGGCTTTAACCCACTGAGCCACCCAGGTGCCCCTGTAATATATTTCTCACATCTCACTTAGAATATGACTAATTGACCAGACCACCAATGTCAGTTCCATGAACTTGCTGCAAATGTCCACATGAGGACACGTATGTCACTGTATTCCTGGGACCCAGCACATACTTGACATTGTTGCATGAGCCAGTTGCATGGGCCCCCAAAGGAATCAGAAAATATTTAAAAGCATATTATACAGTCAATTCTTCCCACTTCACAAGCTAAATTTCATGTTCTACTCCAAATATTTTATGAGTCTGTGACTTCACAGAAGATGAAGTGAATAATTGAAGCAAATCCTCCAAACTATTCAACTCCATCCCCACCCCAAAAACTTCCAATTTTCTTGGTATTTCAAGTGAAAATGTTGGAGTTGACCGACTCATCTTGAAAGTTACCTCAATTCTCCATTCAGCTGGTACATACACATGGTTTTAGAAACCTGCTCTGATGTCGTATTAAGAAACTGACTATCGGGGCACCTGCGTGGCTCAGTGGGTTAAAGCCTCTGCCTTCAGCTCAGGTCATGATCCCAGGGTTCTGGGAATGAGCCCTGCATCGGGCTCTCTGCTCAGCGGGGAGCCTGCTTCCCCCTCTCTCTCTGCCTGCCTCTCTGCCTACTTGTGATCTCTGTCTGTCAAATAAACAAAATCTTTTAAAAAGAAAAAAAAAAAGAAAAAAGAAAGAAACCGATTATCTAGAGAGAATACTAAAGATTCAGTTGAAAACTTGGGAAAACATTTTAGGCTTTCCATTTCAAATTGTCATTGTATTCTAAATCTTATACTAAAAATATATACACCACATCACAAGTACTTTCATACTGTGAACCCAGACCTCCAAAAATACTGCCTGGGAAATTTTTAAGAATTAATTGCATTGGTTTCTTCAGTATTTATAAAGCTTTCTATTGTATTATTATTGGGTAACAGGATAGCAGTTATGAGTATTATGGTAACTAGTGTCCCGGTTCATAGCAAGAAGTATATACATACGCACATACACATACACTAATTACAAAATTAATTATATGCCGATGTCCATTGTATGTGCAATAAGAGAGCAGTTGCATGTTAGCTGATGCCACTCACATATTCAACCAGCTAACAATACACTGCCAACCCATCACACACAGGTAACTAGTACAGCTTGTTAACAAGAAGAGTTTATCCAGAAGCAAGCGGCAGGGTGGTTGCGGCTGCCATACTGACCCAAAGCAGCCAGCTAACAGCACACTGCCTACCTGACTCAGGTCACTCCTGCTTGTCATGGCCCATGACATCACTGAAGCTAATTTGCAACGTGAAACACTGGCACAATGGTAATCTTAAGAGTCCCATAAAAGAAAATTTATAAACAAAACTTGTTCGTCCAAAACAGTTATAAAATATAAAAACATTATTTTTAAATCATAAAAACTTAAAAAGGAAAACTCTCAGAAGACTTGCATTTGGTTATTCTAAAGTAAATGCTTGGATATCAAACTATGGTACATATGAAATAACCAAGTTATACTTAACTGTAGCTTTTCCAATGATTTCTATTTACCGACCAAAAGACCAGTTGTCTGTATTAGGCAGCAAAATATTTAGTAGGAGTCCTGGCAATACATAAGCTGGGCAAAAAACAAAACTGCAGCTATTTTGGAGGGGGGGAAATCAATATTAAAGTATTTAGGGAATGTAAGGACTTAAAACTGTTGTTCATCATCTCCCACTATAAATAACATTAGTCATTGCATTTGAAAGGGCCATTTTGTGTTTGATTTATTGTAACACCACTGAAATACTGAAAATTTTAAATTATAAGAAAAATCTGTAAAAATGTTGATGGGTTTGAAACTAGAATCTATGAGGAAAGTTTAAAGGAATAAGAACAATTTGGGGTAGAGAGAAGGCAAGGTGAATGGTGATAGTGAGAGATTTAAAGCATATGAGGGGGTGCCTGGGTGGCTCAGTAGGTTAAAGCCTCTGCCTTCGGCTCAGGTCATGATCCCAGGGCCCTGGGATCAAGCCCCACATCGGGCTCTCTGCTCAGCGGGGAGCCTGTTTCCCGCCCCCCTCTCTCTCTGCCTGCCTCTCTGCCTACTTGTGAGCTGTCAAATAAATAAAAATCTTTTTAAAAAAAAACAAATAAAGCATATGAGGGCTGTTTATGTGGGAAAAAGAAGAAAAACTCACATAGATTTGTTTTATTTTTACGCTGATTACAAGAGAAGCTACAGGCCTTTGGCTTCAGACTTTCAAGGAGAAAAAGTACTACATTGGATCAACTTTAAATTGCTAAGGGAAGGACAGACCATCAATTAGGCCACTTCTCTGGTTATCCACAAGATGGCACCATTTCCCCTTTTTTGGGAGGCAAGCTTAACTGCAACAATGGCAAGTGCAACTAGCAACTGTTAAAATTAACAGCCAGCTAGCAATGCACTGCCTACCTGACACATCCATGCTTTCCTGTTGAGGCAAAAACTAGAAAGCACCAGCGGTATACAAATGATTACCACTGTCAGGGATCTTCAACTTCCTACAGAAATAGGGGGGAGGGGAGTGTATAATAAGATCTGTAGTTAGTGATATCTTAGGAGATTGATTTTTTTAAATTTTCATATCTTCAGACCACGCCGTACTTCCAACAAATATCTTCTTTAGGAAAAATTATTTTGTTCAAGATCAGAATTAAGAGAACTAGAGCAAGCCCTAGATACTCACCTTGGAAGAACGTGGACTTCTCTTCTGCTTCAGGTCTTTGGCGAACACCCTCATGACATTCTCCTTCGAAAACAGAGACAACATATAGAGAGAAAAATTATTTTAAAAAATCATAATGCTAGGCGTGGGATGTTTATACATCCTCAGCTTGTCCGGCTGCATTTACTTATTTCTTTAGCAAGCAAGCACCTCCGGTATTCAACTAAATTACAGATCGCAAAATGCAGGATCAGGGTTTAGAGTTTTATGCTACATCTTGGCCCTAAATAGGTATTATAAACAGTGCCTTCGACGAGAAGTCCCTGGGAAACAAAAGGACATCACTCACCCACAGTATCTCTTCTTCTGTCCGGACCCTCCGCGGGGCTGTGCGCTCCAGTTTCCACTCCATCTCGGCAGAACTTCCCCCCACCTAGAGTTTGGCCTCCCCTGCCCGATTGGCTCTGGTTTTCCCCCCAGCTCTAAGTCGGTCTTGACGCCTAATCGTCAAACATCTAGAGTCTCACCACCCCCTCCTCCCCCAGGGACCATCATTTTTCACCCTTAATTTTCATTTCCCCCATTCCTCCCACTGCTCCTAGACGGCATTCCCCAGAGTACCGTTTAAAAAGCCGGCTGCGCGGCAGCCGGAGCGGGAATCCCCCCGTCCGGCTTCTCATTGGCCAGCGCTGAGGTGACGTAAAAATGCGGAAGGGATTCCCCCAGCGCGCTGCGTAGCCCGCCTCCGCCTTCCGGCTGGCCGCCCAGCGCCGCCGCCGCCTGCTCTTTGTCCGCAAACGCGCGCAGAGAAGCGCCAAGCTTTGCCGCGAGCGGTGGCGGGCCTGATCTGGGCCACGCGCCCAGGGCGGTCACACCAGCAGGAGATGAGAGGGTTGGCGGGCGAAGAAGCGGGTTCTGTGAGTTCACGTTCTTTCCATTTTCAAGGTGGGGGAAAAGGTTCGTTATAACGGGGCCTCCTCTGCATTGGTAATAATGTTCCCCGTTTGTGTAAACCACTGATCTTAGACGTGTTCCCCCAACGTGTTCATCAGCTCTCGCTCCATTTTTCAAATAGGAAAACGTGGCAAGATTTCTGTGCTAATGAGAAAGGGAGCCATCACATTGTTTCAGTAAGTTCTCTGCTGTAGCCATTTGGAAGGGGCCAGGATCTCTCACTTGAGCTTCTCAGCTCTCTTCCCAAACAGCAGGTTGGTGAGCGAGATGAAGGCATTGGTGAAGGCTGGCGACAGAGAGCACCTCAGGAGGAGTGCAGAGCCAGCAGGAAAGCTGAGCAGACTGGGGGCTACATCAGGAAGGAGAGGATGATTTGGGGGGTTTAGGGAGGGGTTTAGAGGGAAACAGCAGCCCCACCTAAGCTGCCAAGGGAGGCTGGCTGTGCCATATGGCAGGAGGGGAAACTGGGGAACCTCTGACAGACTGGCAACCAGCTTCTCCCTTCCAGTAACCTCCTCCCTACCTTCCCCCATTTGACACTGGATTCCTTTCCCTTTAATGCAAACTGTGGGTTTGGGCATTTTCCTGGTGAAAGGATTCAAAGACATCAGATAAAAGGGTCAATGATTTAAAAAATAAATAAATAAACTAAATTCACTCTCTTGTTTCCTTCTTACGGAAAGCAAGGAAAATTGACATCAAGGCTGAAACCCAGTCTTGAACCAGTTGTCCGTCTGCAATTATAAAGGTTAGGGAAAGTGCTGCACAGGGTAACAATCAGATGAGATTTATCAAAATGCTTGATAGTCAAATAACCCATGGACTGAAAGATCTGTAAGTTCACCCACAAGAATTTTACCTTCCTTATAGTCCATTCAACTTCCAGTAAATCCTTTCAGCAAACATTGAGGCTAAATAAAGTGAAATATTGGCTGAGAGTCAAATGTATTGTTAATTTAAAGAACAGTTTTGCAAATGCCAGCTAAAATTAGCAGCATATTGGAAATAATATGGGAGACTTTTTGTTCTACTGCTAAGTATCATTTTACGTGTACCATTTATGAGAATGGGCACGAACACAGGAGTAATAAAAGCCAATTCATGAACTTGTAAACCCATGTAAACTGTGATTTTAGAATCCATCTCCTTACAAGTACTAAGAATAATGAAATACTCTTTTAAAATTCACTTTAGGGACGCCTGGGTGGCTCAGTTGGTTAAGCAGCTGCCTTCGGCTCAGGTCATGATCCCAGCGTCCTGGGATCGAGTCCCACATCGGCCTCCTTGCTCATCGGGGAGCCTGCTTCTCCCTCTGCCTCTGCCTGCCATTCTGTCTGCCTGTGCTCGCTCTCTCTCCCTCTCTCTCTCTGACAAATAAATAAATAAAATCTTTAAAAAAATAAAAATTAAAAAATTAAAAAAATAAAATAAAATAAAATTCACTTTATCGGGGCACCTGGGTGGCTCAGTGGGTTAAAGCCTTTGCCTTCAGCTCAGGTCATGATCCTAGGGTCCTGGGATCCAGCCCCACATCAGGCTCTCTGCTCAGTAGGGAGCCTGCTTCCCTTCCTCTCTCTCTGCCTGCCTCTCTGCCTACTTGTATTCTGTCTGTCAAATAAATAAAATGTTTTTAAAAAATAATAAATAAAATTTAAAAATTCACTTTATCTGTAATGCAATTTATAAATTCCATTTTAGCTGCTAGTTCCACAACATATCACACAGCCTCCAAATGCCTTTTTTCCCCTAGGTTAAAACAGAAAAGTAAAAGCCAAGTATTTTCCTTTAAGAAGTTATTGTGCATTTAAATATTCATATTAAAATTTAACAGGAGTGATGGAAATAGGAAAATCACCATTGGCAAACACCACAGTACTAACTGTTGCTGTTGAGTAGTAACATGAATAGTAAAAACCATGAATAGTAAAACTGGTGTACATATGATGAGGGTTTTGCCTCCTGTGATCCAATTCGAAAAGGAAAATTACAACTTTTCATTGGACAAATCTGGCAGCTTCCACCTCAACCAAGTAATAAATTAACCTCACCATTAATGACACAATGACATCCTGTGCCTCCTGATAGGACACATTGGGAAGGGCACAACATAACTTCCGTGACATCCTTGCCAAATTAATTAAACAATAACATGCATTTAACAATGAGAAAATGCTAAACAAACCAAATGAAAGAATATTCACAAAATAAATGGCCAGTAGTACTCTTCAAAAGTGTCATCATGAAAAAGAAAAACAGAAATTATTACAGATCAGAAGTATCTATCTAAACATGACAAATGCATTGTAAGATCCTGGACTGAAGCCTGGACCAAAAGGGGGAAACAGGCATTTGTTGGATGATTGCAGAAATTTGAGTAACATTTGTAGATTAGTTAACATGGGAGTAGTAATGCTTATTTCGTACTTATAATCATTGTGCTCTAGTAGTATTAAATGTTAACGTATCAGGAAGCTGTGTGAAGGACATGAAGGAATTATTTGTACCATTTTGGTAACATTTTTCTAAGTCAAATTATGTCAAAGTAAAACTTAGAATTGAGAAACATTATCATGTGGTCATATGAATAGATAGAATGAATAGAAATTAGTATGCATAAGTTTTTAGGAGAAAATAGAAATATCCTGTAAGCATTTTATCTTAATTTTTATCAAATACAGTTTAGGAGTAATGCCTAATTCATTGGTTTATGTGTCTGTAATGTACCATCTTCAAGACGTTTGCTCTTTCTGAGTGCGATTTTGCAGATCTGTGATAAGAACAGAGCTGTGAAGAAGATTCCTCTGCGAAGGCCAAGGTCAATTCGAAGGATTTGGAATAAGAAGTTGAGGGGGAAAAGAGGTGAAGCAGGGAGAAGGGAGAAGAGGCAAACGTGAAAACACTTTTCTTGACTCCTATCTTGTGGGTGCTTTGAGAGTCTGAGCAGTTCCCTATGGATGGGAAGCAAGAAGATATCCAAAGCTTCCCAAATGCAGATATTTTTTCAATTACATGATCACATTTTCCAAATAATAATGTTACATATCTCAAAAATACACAATGTACAAAGTCAGCTCCCTTCATCCACCCCCTCCCCAGCTTACTCCTTTCCCCCAGAGAGGCTATCAGACCATTTCCAATGCATTTACATACAGAAATGTGTACTGAGAGTTGGGCGCTGTGAACCTTCCAACCTAAATGCGATCTCACTACACTTAATCGTTTTGCAACTTGCTTTTTCTGCTTCACCGCATTCAGTTGCAAACCGGAGAGCTTCCCCATCCCCAACTCCCAACTGTCGGTTTTCACGCCGCTGGCATCGCGGCTTCTCAGGGTGGGCTCGCGCCCGCACCTGGCGCGCTCCAGCCCGCCCCCGACTCGCGCCCCACCTCCCGCGCGGGCCAGACTGGCTCCGGCGCCCGCCTACTGGACAAAAGGGACCGTTGCTGGGCTCTGCAACCGCCCCTGGGGCACGTGCCTGCCAGGCAGGACTTGGGGGAGAGCGCCACTCCTGGCGGGATCAATACTTCTCCAGCCACGTGGGACAGGGGGAAGACCGGGTGCAGTGGGAGAGTCGGGACGTTGGCCATGAAGTTTGGGGAAAGGAAGGGAAGGAGAGCATCGTGTTCTGGACAGATAATGTGTCTGAGCATGTCTCCCCACCACCACCCCCCAATATATATAGCTCAAAATACCGCATGGGAAGGAAGGAATAACTCCCTTATAATACCGCAGGGCTCGAAAGACAACTTGTGAAGGTTCTAGTGAGTAGCCTCAATCAGAAGAATAAATACCACCTCACCTCTGGTTACATTGACTTATTACTTTAGGTACATGCATATTTTTCCGTTACTACCTCGTTTCTAAATACAGGGTCTGTCCTTTAAAATGTATTTCTTTAAAATATATTCCTCCATCTATTTTACCTAAGGTGAAGGGTAAAATTTGCCCCGCTTAAAGCATGAAATCAGAAGATCACTTCACCTCCAACTACGTAGCTGCTTTAATGCATTTTCCCCTTCTGTTGCTGCTTAGTGTAGCTCTTCCATAGGCTGCTAAGGTATTTACCCCCACAATTTTATGGGATGAAAGGAAAATATCAACCTGATTTCAGTACAAATCTGTATAAAACCAGGGATGAAGTCAAGCATATGAACATGGTGCCGCCTCAAGAAATAAAGGCTCATAAATGCGTGCAAATCCTTTTACTAGATCTCTTACCAGCACTTCAAGCACAACATAATCCAAAACAGAATTGAGACTTTCCTTATTCCTCTTCTCCCCAAACCATGTTTTCCCCCCTTCAACCAGCCTGTCCCCAATATCCCCACCTTCCCGGTGGAACAGAATCAAAGTCAGCCTTCTTTAACACTTCCCCTCCCCATAAGCCCAAACCCAGATACCAAAGGCAGTCATTTTCACCTCAGCACTGTTGATTGCATCTGCCTCTTCTTGATCTAT